AGATTCAAACAACTTCAGGTATAATAACTAAATACCCAGCATTTATGTTGTGTTAGGTATTAGAAGTAATCTAGAAAGACTTAAAGACTATGGGAGGATATGCAAAGATGGTATGCAAATAAAATGCCATTTTATATAAGAGACTGGGAATCTGCAGATTTTGGTATCTGAAGGCACTGTCCTGGGATCAATTCCCTGTGAACACAAGAGACAACTGTATACTCAATTTTAACTATCTATTAAGCTTCATGCAAAAGTACTCTCAATTTACTATCTGAAGCATCTAACATCTTTAATACAATAAAAAGTTAGTCCACTAGCACCTTTCTCTTTGTTTATATACTACACATGCACACATGCATGTACAGTCTTTTGTTCTGTATCTTGAATAATTTTTACAACAAGGCAGAGTAATCTTAAGTGTCTACAAGGGATGAAGAGCTTGATGAAAAGGGAGGAAATTAAGTGGAGGGAAGAAAAATGAGCAAATCTTCCACACGAACTAACAACCTGATTTGCATTAGTTTTTGATATGCAACTTACACTGAAGTAGTCTAATTAATAATACTACTTCTTGGTCCCTGATAAATCTTAACTCTCACAATTTTGCCCCCAAACTTGCTTTTACTTCTAATCAAAACTTTCTCTGAGGTATTCTATGAAACAGGTCCACTTGAGTCAAAAAAGCACTTCGTACAAACCTATCTCATAAGTTTCCTTCCTCTTCTTGATATAGTAGTTCATTAATGTTTAAATTTTAACCATCTATAAGTGACCTGTCAACATCAATTGCCACAATTAACTGTTAACACAAAAATAATTCTATATAACCAAAATATTTTAATTTTTAAAAATTTTATAATAAATATTTACTTATTTTAATATATCTAAAATGGCAGTATGTGGTGAGCTTAAAAAAAATACACCCTAAAAATGTGCACATGTATATAATTTATATTTGTAATGTTACCACAGAAGAGTCTGTGATAACTGGCTTCTGCCCAATATTCAAAAAATTCCACAAATGAGTCTGTCATACGTTGTTGAGAATCACAGAGAAAGCCCACTTCAAACTGCTTTCAATATGAGTGTCCTTACTTAAAGTATGACCCCTACATGCACCAAAAGAAAGCTATCTTTTTCTAGCTTCAGCAGTTTCGTTGGATCAAAGTATCATTTTTGGTATTAAAAATGACAATAACCAAATCTTTTTACTTTAGAAGTGAAAAATGAAAATTTTAGTTCCTACAACTTTAGTTTAAAAGATGCTTTATATAAAACCACATCAGTAACAATTAAGGAAACATTTGTAATTCTCTGCCGCACTGCAGCATCTATGATTACTTAATATAATTCAAGGACTGGGTTGTGGCTCAGTGGTAGAGCACTTGCCTAGCACATGTGAAGCACTGGGTTCAATCCTCAGTGTCACATAAAAACTATATAAAAGTATTGTGTCCTTTTAAAAACAAAAGATAATTCAATGTTTTATTTTTCCTATCTTAGCAGTGAATGGGTACTTGTTTTCCTTTCTGTAATAGGCAGATAAAATATTTAAAAAGAGAAAAATGTTAGTCTTTTTTCTTTGAAAGTCAAAAGGCCACTTTTAATATAGCACCCAATAAATACTACTCTACTAATATGAAGGCACACAAGGTATATCCAATTAGTTTTAATTGAATATAAAATTTCCTGTCATTCAAGGCTGTACCCATCTAAAATACATGCAGTGAGGAAAAACACTAAAATATTCTCTAAATCACTTAATAGTATGGATGTGTGTATGAAAGTTTAAATGGGTAGGAAATTTACCCAAATTCATTTAATAATAGTAATACTCATACATTCTCACTATTGAATGTCTATTTCAATAATAAATTAGATTTATTTGATACCATCATTCTTTTTATACAACATCTTTGAATTAGTGATGAATTTTACAATTACTGGCATGTCTTATCAAAAGCAATTTCTGTTTCCAAATGGTGCTTCCAATGAAATACAAAGCACTTTTCCAAATTAAAAAAGGTAGCTTCTTTTTAAATGTAAAACCACTGCCCTCAAAAAGTTCTAAATGTGTGGTTCTATAAAATATAACCTTTTATATAAAAGTAAAAATGGCAAATTTAACGAAGTGACTAAATTCACTGCTTTGGTAAGAATACAATCGCTTAAATAATAAATAGATTTTATCAATGAAATATATCAGGCCACTTTCAAAGTTTTAAAGGAATAATTTCATACTACTACTATCTTTCAAAGTATTTCTCCACCCCCATATTGAAACAAAATTAGAACAGAGCTTGTACCCATAATATGATGCAGATAAAGACAACATTGCTATTTCTATTTACAGTATGAAAGATCAAATACAGTATATACATTTAAGCTAAGTAGAGAAGCCCGTGTTTAACGAAATGTTTAGAGACATTAAAATATTTTAAAACTACCTACTTGGTTTACTAATACTGACAAAGTCACATCACTCTAACATGTCACATATTAAAATGCTATGTGGGGCTAGGGGCGTTGCTCAGTGCTAGAATGCAAGGTTAGCAGGCACAAACCCTAGTCTCATCCCCGGCACAGAACAAACCACCACTACATAATTCAGGATCTAAAGTAGTTACTTCCTGCAGCACCTGAAACCACTGTTATTAAAATAGCTATGTTACTCCGAACAGTCTTCTAATAGTTAGCATTCTTGTGAAAGAACTGTGAGCAAAAGAAGCAGATCATAATTTCCTTCTAGCTATTTAAAAAGAGCATTTTCAAACATTTCCTAGGTTGGTTTCAAGATATAGTACTGGCAACTGATTAGGTAACTTTCACCTTCAGAACCTTCAAACCAGCTTAACACTTGAACTTATTTTGTTTTCAAGTTCCTACATGGAGGTGTAACAGTGATGAAAAGTCTGGGATCCATAAACACTAGGAAGCTTCACATTTTTCATAATTACTTAATTCAACTCAATATCACTTAATTTTAATCATGGTAAACACAACTAAAGTAGTTGAAAACAAATTCCACTCAATATTATTTCCTTAAGGACCAGGCCAATGTCTTCTAACATTAAAACTTTGCACCAATGTCTTAGTTCTTCCTCACTACCCTAAGGAAATTATCTCGAACTAACTCCAAATTATTCACTTAATTACCATGGAAATAAACAAAGTAAACAGTATTTAAACATTTCTACTCTCACCTACTTTTTCAGAAAGTAAAATAGATAATGTACTATCTCTAGTCAAGACACCTTGTAAAAAAGAGATTTTATTTTTGGCCAGAAATCTTAAAGTTATCTTATGCATCTCTAGATTAATCAGAGGTAAGGAAAACCAATCCAATTTTAATGGCTGGTGTGCTCTATCATTTTTGAAGGCTTGACAAACATATTTTAAGTACTTTTGATAAGGAAATAGTTGTTCAAAATGCACAGCAAAGAAAATGACTATTCATAGAACCAAATGAAAGCCTTCCATTAAAAACTAACTAAAAAACATCAAAGGGTTTTTAAATATGTATATACTATATATGAAAAACCCAAAAGAATATAAATAGCAAATAAATGAAACATAAAAGCAAAACCAAACAGGAAACTAACCCCAAATTTTTCTCCTGTTCAGTTTACCTGGGAGGCTAATCCCAAAAGTGTTACCCAGAGCCTACCAAACATATGATGGACACTTTGTTTTGGTATACAAATTAGTATCTTAAAAGTCCACCAACACCACTATATCTATCTATATATACATACATTTTGTTCAATTAAGTAATTCATGTCAGGCACATGAATTAAGAAAGTCTTTAGTGCTACTACTAAACTATGCAGAATACCAAATACAGTGTGAAACAAAGCAATGCAAGCATTTATGTGAAATATGGCTCCAAGCTAAATCTGGCTTCACTTAGCTATGTTAAAAAAGAACTGCCACCCTGCCACTGTATTTCTTTATAATACTTCTTATTTTATCTTCATAAAGACTAAAAACAATAAGCTGTAACTATGAGCAAATTTGCCAAACTTTTCCAATTTTCTATCAGATTTTAAAAAACGTTTCATTACCTAAACTCTTCTTCACTTTCTCTGTATGTACATGAAGACCAACATACAGAGAAAAAGAAAAAAACTATGACTTACACAGTAAACATACATGGATGTTGCATACATACTATATGAGACTGCATGATTTTAATAACAAAGTAAATGCTTTTTCTACCACACAGTTCTTTGATGTTGTTATAAGAATAATAGAAAATTTTCACAACTAAGCACATGCTTCTAATGATTCAGAGTCTTAAGAATTTGTAGGTTAAAAAAATACAATTCCTAGAACACTGTTATCAAACAAATAAGTTTTATTGGCATCTAAAAACAAAATTCACCCAACATTGAAACGTACTTTAATATTTATGTTGTTGTTTACTTCTTTTTTTTTTTTTTCTTTTACTCACTGCAGTATGAGGAACAAATCACACACACTTACTTTGGAGTAACAGAGACCATAGTGTAGATTTTACAAAATCACTTTTTAAAATCTCTGTAGTATGCTCCTCAAATATCTAGAGCCAGTCTTTGCATAAAATATCACAGCTTTGTCTACTACCTTAAAATGCTGCAGCAGCCTAGAGATATGGATAAGATATACCACCACTTGCTATTTTGAAATATATCTATTACCATATCCAACCTACTGATAGTATCTAAAAAATTCTTTCTTCCATAGGAAGTCTCTGACAAGCTGTTATTCGTTTCCTTGACGTTAAAAGAATCTGGGGCAACATTTATATTTTATCAGAAAAATAAAAAAAAAGTTTACCTATCATGTTCATATTAAGAACAATGTCTATACAAGTCAGTTGTACAATTATTTTAAGAGAAAGGTGAACATGAACATCAGATTAACTTAATTCTGGCAGACAAAAGTGAACAACTATGGTCCAGTCAGCCATTAATCTATTACAGAGAGATGACAACTTTACAAAAGGTATCTTTTACCTACTGAGTGATGATTATGTCCCCTCAGTTTCTGTGCTTTCTACCACCACTGGTTCACTTTCTATATCAGCAACTGTGTCACTCTTCTCCTTGTTTATGTCACTTGAAGACGTCAGTTTTTCATAAAGTTCAGGATCATTCTGTACTGGTAAAGGCGGTGGTTGAGCATGTCTCTCTGTATTTTCACCATTAACCTGAGGCACATTATCACCTTTTCGTTGAGAAGTGGCCCCTTCAAAATAATCAAAAACCCGAGCGTGAGGAGGGGGGACCCAAGTGTTTTGAATTCTATCTCGTCCAAGACGATTTCCATTCATTTCTCTGCAGAAATCAAAATCTCTGTCATCCCTATCCCTCTGCCTTTCCCAGGGTCTTCTGCGGTCATCAAAATCTCTGTGAACTTCTTGTCCAAATCCTCTGTTCCAAGGACCACTTCTAGGATCAAATCGGTAGCTTCCAGCCCGAAATCTACCTCTTTCATCATGTAATCCTTTTGGACCACCATAGACAGGGAGAACCCGGTGCTCTCTCTCATCAAAATCTCCTCTATGCCCCCAGGGCTTCTCTGGAGTAAAGCCAAAGTGGTCTCTTCGACCAAGATGATCTATACCTGGCCTCACAAGATTCTCTCTGATATCTACAGGAGGTCTTCCAAAATGATCCCTACCATCTAATGGAGGCCTTCCAGGACCTTCTCTTGGATCTATAGGCCGCCCAACCACATCCCTAACATCCACTGGGGGAGGTCTACTAATGCTCTCCCTGGTTTCTATGGGAGGAAACCGGTAATCTCTATCTCCTTCCTGTTGAATGTTATCACTCCCAAGCGGTATCCTTTTTTCTGGGTTAATAACATTTTCTACACTTTGTCTTCCAGGAGCTAGAAAAGGTCTTTCTGGCTGACTAAAAATGTCTCCTGGAGGAAAAGGTCCACGGGGTGGTGGATGAAGAGCTGAATCAAGTACCGATGGGGGAGGGATTCCACGTTGGGGTGGAATTCCAGGTTGTATTAAAGGGAATCTTGGTCCAGGGGCCTGTGGTATTAGTCCTGGACGAATGTCTAATATTGGCATTGCAGGCATCCTTTGACTTGGGATATTTAAAGGGGGTAAATTTTGAGGTCCAGCAGGTGGCTGTGTTCCCAAAAGTCCAGAAGTATTTGTAACATTTGGTGGCTGTACTCCTACAAGTCCAGAATTATTCGGCATATTTGGGGGTAGCACTCCCAAAAGTCCAGAACTATTTGACACATTCGGTGGCTGTATTCCCAAAATTCCAGAGTTATTTAGAATATTTGGTGGTTGAGCTCCAATAATCCCAGAACTACTAGAAACATTAGATGGCCGGACTCCAAGAATTTCAGAATTACTTGATACATTTGGTCTTTGGACTCCCAAAATTCCAGAATTGCTTGTCACATTAGGCGGCTGTGCTCCTAAAATTGCAGCATTACTTGAAATATCATTCGGAATCACTAAAAGCGGAAAGAGGAGAAATAATTCAAAATAATAGTTATTCTGGCATGAAAAGGAAACTTCACTTATACATTATTAATTCTATAATTTCCAGTAATTAGCTGGAGTTAATCAGTTACTTGTATCCGCAAAAATCAAGCTATACTAAACACTAAATAAAAATTGAGTTTAAATTATTAAAATTGGGGCTGGGGTTTTGGCTTAGAGGTAGAGAGCTCGCCTAGCACGTGCAAGGCCCTGAGTTCAATCCTTAGCACCACATAAAAATAAATAAAGGTATTGTGTCCAACTATAACTAAAAAATACATATTAAATTTTTTTTTAATTATTAAAATTATACAAAGTGAAATTTAAATATTAAAACTTAAGTGGGACTGTTCTATAAAACTTTACACTGATTCACTTACCTTTAATGGAAAGCCTTTTTAAAACATAATTTTTAATATACCAATAGCACAGCCATAACAAAAGAACTTAAATGCTTTCCAACACCATATTTATCATCCAGATCTAACTGGATAATATCCAGGATTGGTAGAAGTTATTCATACCTAATACTTGCTCATTTCATTTTCTTATAAACATACAGGTTCTGTGCAGCTTTATTTTCATAATAATCCACTGAGGCAGGCCAAAAAGGTGCAAGGGAACCGAAATCTACATTATTCTGAGTAAAATGTCATTTAAAAAATCAAAGTCGCTAGGATATAGTGATCTCTCTCTCTCTGAAAATTACAATATTTCAACATCTGTGCAAATGCATGCCACCCCAGAATTAAATATCAATACATAAAGAAATACATAAAGATTTAATAGCATTTCTAGAGATTTATTTTATTTATTTTTTACCTGATCTGCTGTTTTCACCAGAAGAAATCTGGTGTTCTAAAAGATGAGGTACTTTTTCTTCAGGCTCTGCTTGTTTAGGTGGAGGATTAAAAACATTTCCAGCTGGTAGAGCAGAAGTAGCAAGACTGCTGGCAACTGGACCACCTGGTAAAACAAGACTACCAAATCCAACATCCTTCACAGCTTCAGGGGTCATGGACAGTGGTGGTTGCACTAAGGCTGTTTAAAGAGAGAATAATGTTATCTCAGATTTATTAGCTAATGAATTCATGAGCTACATTTTCTGGCTGCTTGAATGATTCACTTTATGGCATCTTTATTACTAAGGACATTATATAATAAATAATGCTCAAAAGGACCAATGAAATATCATGAAGAGACTAAGGCATATTTACAAAACTTTACTTTTAAAAATAGGGAACACCAACAGGTATAAGAAGTATTTTTTTTTAACAGAAGTGTTTAGTAAAGCAAGAACCAGGACTAAAGAAAATTCCAGGAATACAAAAAATTACTTTTCCAAAGACACTAGCCAGAAAAGCAAAATATACAGAAATGATTAACACAGACAAATGATTAGCATCAGAATGAAAACCTGCCCATTCTCCTTGAGCCTACAAGGTACATTCTTACATTCACTACCTTTTTTCAAATGAAATTAGAAATACAGATGAGATGGACTACAAATACAAAGCTATTGAAACCATGTTTTAAAGAACTGATAGAAAAATTCTCAAGACCAAATGTCATCTGTATGTTAAAAAGCAGAACTAGAGGAATGTTAACTACACAACTATGATTTTGAAATCATATTTGGAGACTTTAGGAAATATTTTTCCTCACATTTGACTCTAGAGTTACCAGGACAAACTGTTAGCACATAAGAGAGCAGTAAAATACAGATTAAAACCCCTATGATCAGGCAACAGGAATTATTAAAAATGAGACAGTGTGCAAGCAATCTGGAGCACACCAGAACATCTTTCTATTAATCAATTCCAGATTTTCCAAACTAATAAACTAGGAATAATTAGGAGGCAGGATCTAGCATAATTTGTGTAAATTCAGAAATAACTTCTGCACACTTAAACTAATTTTCTGAAATAAATAATTATTCCTAATTAACCAAGAATATTAAAAAGGAAAAATTCTAATGTGGCCTAAACACTGAAAGAAGAATTCATTTAAGAATCCTAAGAAAATACTGGATTAGACAAAAGGAAATAAAGTGAAGAGAGGGTAATGGGAAGACAGTAGAATGAACCGGACAGAACATTCCTATGTTTATATATAAATACAAGACAGGTGAAACTCAACATCATGTACAACCACAAAAATGGGAAGTTATACTCCATGTAGGTATAGTATGACAAAATACACTCTATTGTCATGTATACACAAGAACAAACAAAAAAGAATATTAAGAAAATGCATTAGATATCCAAAGTTAAGACCTCTATTTAGCATATATATTCTCTTGTAATATGGGCCTTTTCAGGTCTAATTTTTGAGATAAGCTTGACCCAAATTACTAAAGGTTTGTTTAGAAGATTAAAGAACAGCTACAGGGAAAACACATGAAAGCAATAAAAATGAATAAAAGGGCATATTTAACATTTCTGAAATGTCCAAAAATAGGAAAAAGACTAAGAAATTAAAGGTAATAAATGTCTGTAATAATTTACATTTCAGTTCTTGTTTTCCTTTTGAAATGTTTATTCTAGTAAAGAAAACCAGGTAGGCTGGGGTGCCTATTCTATGAAAATGTCAAAAAAATGAAAAATTCACACATGAAGCTGGTGCCACCACTACAAAGAGCAAATTATGTTTTCAGGTGACTGTAGGTTAAGGGCAACTTGATCATACATTTTCAATAAATACATATTCTGAGGATAAAGATATCAGTGGAGAAATGTTAAGTTTCATCCAGAATGCTTCTTAGCACTAACCCTGGCCTTTTCACAAAAAACTATTGTGTATTGGGTGTGCAGGTTTTAATTATAAGAATGAAAATAAGTAATCAAGTTAATGTTTTCAGTAGAATATAAATTTAAAAATCAAAGTAGCTAAGTAAAAAAAAGTTCTATAAAGTCAAATTTGTTTTACAGTGTATGTTCATATTTTTTTTTCCTTTTCAAAACATATACTGTCTAGTTTTATACACTGAAAATTCCTATGCCCAAAGAAATCGCAAAAGCAGAATGAAAATCTTATACCCCAATTGTGACCTCTAAATACTATATCCCATTTGGAGAAACGATGGATTCTTGAACTAGAGCAGGAAAAACACAAAATCAGTCAGGGACACAATGGGCCAAAAAAAGGCCTTGAAAAACTAATGCAATCATCTTAACAAAGAAGCAACACATAGGTTCTCCAAATTGTTCAAAGATGAAGCAATCTGAACATCATGAAGAACAATACATGCAAGTGATTGGAAGAAAGTCTTTTAATCCATAAACACTGAGAAAGCAATCAAAAAAAAAAAAAAAAAAGGAAGAAGGGAGGACAAGGGAGAGGAAGAGGAGAGATATAAGAAATCCTCCCTGCCTCAGTTATTGGTTATCACAGGAAGACTCCCTAGAACTAACACATCATACTGAAAGATGGAAATTAAAGATAAGATTTCACATCTACCCTGACGTTCCTGCCCAGACTAAACGAGTACCATTAGTTGATGAGAAATAATTTTTTTTAATTAAAAAAAACTCTAGTTAAGGAATGTAGAAGGAATTCTAGATTTTAAAAGATACAACTTTGCAATTAATGGCAAATAATTCAAGCAACAGTGGCTAATGGATGAAACCATCATATAAAAACTTGAAGGAAAATGTTTCAAATGACCAAGTTCCACTACTTGAATGTTCTGATCCATCATAACATCATTAAAAGTAGAAAATACACCAAAGGCTAAACCCTAATGTAAACTATGAACTTTTTCTGTAATCATGTCTCAATGTGGGTTCATCAGCTGTAACTATACACCATTCTGGAGAGGCTAGGCATGTCAAGAGTGCGAGTATATAGGAAATTTCTGTACCTTTGGCTCAATTTTACCATGAAACTAAAAATGCTCTAAAAAACAAAGTAAACCACAAGGTAAAAAGATAAGATGCTACATGACTTCTGATGTGATGCCATGCCAAGTTTAAGGCATTTGGCTTATTAAGTATGCTGTGAAAAAAGCTAAACTAGGATCTAAGTCTTTAGTGCTCACTTCCATTGCATAAGAAATGTAGAGACAAAAGGAAAAAATTTAATACCACAAAGATGCAAAAATTCTAATCCATTATTTGGGATCTTGTATATATATAAAAACTGAACTGTCTCTTCAACATGTCATGAAGAATAATGAAATGGAAGGAGAGTTTAGGTGAATCTACTCTAGATTAAGACATTAAATAAAGCAAACAAAAACCACAAACATGATGGGGGGTAAAAACTGAACTGTTTCTTCAACATGTCATGAAGAATAATGAAATGGAAGCAGAGTTTAGGTGAATCTGCTCTAGATTAAGACATTTAATAAAGCAAACAAAAACCACAAATATGACGGGGGGATCTTTGAATTTTGACTTCCTGACTACTAAACTCAATTACAGAAAAACATTCTGAGACAACTGAGCAAATATAAAAATTGTCATAATACTGTTAATTTTTAGAAATCATCTAACAAATACATTTGTTTGAAAACTTTCATTAAAAAAATAAATTCACAGGAATTAGAACCAATACACTTAATACTACTGGAAATAAAGGAAATTCTAAGTAGAAAACTCACATGTTGGTACTACTGGTGGAATTGCAGGGGGTGGTACAACAGGCGGGGGAACTGGAGGGGGCATGAAACCTACATAGGAGAAAAAAAAGACCAAAAATAAAACAGTAAAATTATTTGTTTCAAATCAGAGATTTCAACAGCTATAAATGAAATTCCACATTCTTCTCTTTTATAGAGATGGGGATCCCATTGTGTTGCCCAGGCTAACCTTGAACTCCTGTGCTAAAGTGATCCATCAAGCCTCAGCTTCCTGGGCAGTTGGCACTACAGGTGCACACGACCACATCCAGCAAAATTCCACTGTTTATTACTATGCCCTCATATTTGTACATATATTTTCTATTTTTTAAATGACATTTATGTAAAGCATGTACTTTATTAAATCCTAAATTAGGATTAAGCAGGGAGATACTGATCATAAACACATTGTATGTATTTACTCATTCAAGTCCTGAGACACACTCTGTGTTGCTATAAAACCAATGATTAATTCAAGTCAGCTAAACTATTTACTTTAAGCACAGAGTGTGCATGGGGACAGTGAAACACATTTCAAACTACTGATCACATTACATGCAATGTCATCTATGAGACACACCATTTTAGTTCTTTGATACATATGCTGTTTACCCATTAGATCAAAATATTTTCATTAATCTTAGAGACACTATATGTTTTGAGGACTAGAATAAATTTTCATTTTAATACTGCCTTTTTTATTATTTTAAAGATCAAATGATCATGCTATGAATCTGATTCTTTGCATTTTTTATTTTAAACCAAGCCACCAGTAAACTTTATTAGAAAACAGTGATAAAAATAAAGATATTATCAACAAATTCAATGATGGAAAATAATTTACCAAGTCTATGTGGCACAATTATTAAAAGTATAATTTCACAATAGCATCAGAAATTTTCATTTTCAAATGAATACAGAAAATAATGGAAAAGAGTAATTTCTTTCTTTTTTTGTGATACTGGAGGATTGAAATAAGGAGCATCCTACCACTGAGCTAAATCCATAGCCCTTCTGATTTTCTTTATATTGGGACAGGGTTTAGCCAAGGCCATCCTAGAACTTGTGATCCTCCTGCCTCGGCCTCCCAAGTTGCTAGAATCACAGGAATGTGCCACCATGCTCAGTAACAGGAAAGATTTTTCAACATTTAAAATATTAAAGATAAAATTCTTATTAAAATTTGTCCATTTTAGGAGCTAGGGTTGTGGCTCAGTGTTAACCTAGCATATTTGAAGCCCTGGGGTCGATTCTCAGCACCACATAAAAATAAATAAATAAAATAAAGGTACTTTGTTTAACCACAACTAAAAAATAAGTATTAAAAAAATCTTTCAATTTTATATTATATATTAAACAGAAATTAAATTTTTTATATTGGGGCTGGGGATGTGGCTCAAGCAGTAGCACGCTCGCCTGACATGCGTGCGGCCCGGGTTCGATCCTCAGCACCACATAGAAACAAAGATGTTGTGTCTGCCTAAAACTAAAAAAATAAATAAATGAATATTTAAAAAAAAAATTTATATTAACCTGAAAAATAAAGCATTCTATGAAGATTAATTTACTTTTTTGGGGCATGGGAGGGGGCGGGGGGCCCCACCGGGGATTGAATTCAGGGACACTCAACCAGTGAGCCACATCCCCAGCCCTATTCTGTATTTTATTTAGAGACAGGGTCTCACTGAGCTGCTTAGCATCCCACTGTTGCTGAGGCTGGCTTTGAACTCACAATCCTCCTGTCTCAGCCTCTAGAACCACAGGGATTACAAGTGTGTGCCACCACATCCAACATTAATTTACTCTCTACTCTTGTTGACCATTTTTAAGAACTATACCCAATGGTTAAGAATATAAATCAAAGAAAACAAAGCACTTCTTTAAATGTGCAAATAATTTATGAAGCTAAAAACTATTTTAAGAAACAATACCTAAATCATTTGATTCCTGTATCTCTCCCTCATTCCTTTAACTTTCCGTGGTCTAATACTAAAAACTCTATAAACTTTATAAAGCAATTACATATACTTAATTGTTAAGATGTGTGTTAAGGGCTGGGGTTGTGGCTCAGTGGTAGATCATTCGCCCAGCACATGCAAGGCCTTGGGTTTGATCCTCAGCACCACATAAAAATAAAACAAAGATATTGTATCCATTATAACTAAAATATAAAATTAAATTAAAAAAAAAGATGTATGTTAAGTAATTTATAGTTTTTAACATGAAAGTACTGATTTGGGCACTTTTGCTTATCAACAATTTATTAGGCCAACAAAAGTATTCCAAGTTCAATCAGCATTTTAAAGTATAATTTCTAATATAATGAAACAATCTACAGAATTTTATGCAAACTTGCTGATCAAAAAATAACGATTATAAATAACTTTCAGCTGGGCAAGGTGGTGTATGCCTGTAATCCCAGTTATTTGGGAGGCTAAGGCAAGGAGGATTTCAAGTTCAAAGCCAGCCTCAGCAATTTAGACAGCAACTTAGCAAGACCCTATTTCAAAACAAAAAATTAACAGTCTGGGATGTGGCTCAATGGTTAAGAACTCCTTGGTTGATCCCCAGTACCAAAAGTTTTACATTAAGTGTTGTTATCTTCAATTATTTTAAAGGAATTCCTTTTTCTCTGTCAGTGCTTCTTCCAGAAATGTGCCTTCTGAGCATAAATTAGTAATGAAAACACTCTGGCCCATCTACAAACTTAGAGGAACAAAATCCGGTATGCTAAGGTCTAAGAACCACTGGCTCCTTGACATTTAAGCCTGGAAAAAGAACAACTTTATTGATATTCTAAATACAGTTTGAATAATAAGGTGAGTAGAATGTTGGCTTTGCATGCACAGAGGCCCTGTTTCAATCTTCAACAACACAAAATAATAATGTGAAAATTTCTTACCAGGAGGTGGTTGTGAAGGGTTAAAACTTGCTCGCAGAAAAGGTGGTGGAGGTATTGGGCTGAATCCAGGAGGCGGAACTGGCATGGACACAGGAAATGCTGGTGGAACTAAACTAACTGTAGGCACCGCTGGTGCTACTGGAATCTTTAGTGGGAAGGAATTTTTAAAAAAGCCACTTATCAGTTTATTCACTTGCAATGATCACATCTTGGGATAGCTAAAGGTAATTTTACATGTATGTGTGGACTTTTAGGAAAGCAACCAAATATCATTACCAACCCCCACAATTTTGTCAATAAGTATACTTATTAAGGTAAAAGCAAGGCAATAATACACAATAGATAATTTACTTGGAGATTGTGAAATCTTTCTTATATTCAAATGATGTAAAATAACGGATGCCTGGTTGAATACTTGAATATTAGGATTAATTTTCAACTGCCTACTAATCTCCTATTAAGCCTAGATAATACCTACCAATGTTACGACACACTATTAGAAAACATGAAATAACAGCTTTAGAATGGCTCAAATTTCTCTTACATTTATCTTCTTATCCCAACATAAATATCCTTTACTCATCTTAGGTACAAAATTTCCTATAAATTTACCTGCTACATAACTTTACCTAAATTTCCCACTGTATCAACTGTCTATTCAACATCTCAAGTTCACTGTCTAAAAGATACTTCATACTTAATATGCACATACAAAACAACAAACTCCCAATTGTGCTTCCCAAAAGAACTCTTCTCACAGTCTTTTCCATTCTTATTAATGGTAAATCCATCTTTCTAATATCTTAGGGAAAAAAAATCCTTGCCTCTGCTTTTTCTCACAAATCCATATTAAATACTTCTAGAAGTCCCATTGATCATAACTTCAAAGCATGTCTAACATTTATCCAACTCTCATTACTGCCACAACTAGCAGGCTATTTGGAGTCACCATCATATCTCACCTTTATTGCTATATTGGTTTTTAACTGGGCTCCCTGCTTTTATCAATGCTCATTATAGCCTATTTTCAAAATAGTAGTCAGCACATTCCTTTAAAACTATCACGTCAGGTCAAGTCATTCCTCTGCTCAAAATCCTCCAATGGTTCATCTCATTCAGAATGACAACCAAAGACCTTACAGAGGTTTATTGTCAACTAACCTGCCTCTCACTGGCCTTACTCTAGCCACTTACAGTTTCACGGCACCTGGAACACACCAAGTATGTTCCTGGCATACAGCCTTCCAATTGGTGGTTCCCTTTACCTAGTGGGCTCCTCCTCAGATATCCACATGATTAATTCCCTTAGTATACCTTTGTTGCTCAAATGTTAAGATTCTCAACTAGGTCTACCCTGGCCATTATATTTAAAATTATAAGGACCTACCCAGACACTCCCAACCAGTTTCAGACTATCTTTACCCTTCCATAGCATCTCACTCTTATTTTACATTCTCTCTTCCCTATTAAAAATGAAAGCCCTAAAAGGGCAGGATTTTTTTTTCCCCCTCAGTAATGTGTTACTCTAACCCCAGGTTCCTAAAATAGTGCAAGTCTCAGAGCCAGAACTCATTAAACAAAGAAAATGATCATACAAGTTTGCAGAGGCAATATTTTCCATATTTACCTTTTTTAAACTTCTTGTTTGGCACAATGATACCATAGCACCAGAAAAAAAATCTTTAAAAAGACTAAAGAGATTTAAAAGAAAAATTCTTTGCCTAACATTACTGACAAGTACCTTTCCTACTTTGAACAATTTCCTCCAAGTTTTTATAAAGTAAATAGTGAATACATGAGTAAATACAGAAATGTAAAACAATATATATTTTTTAAAAAGAAGGAAAAAAAAAACCACACAGCACTAACCTGCAACATGGCAACAGGTGGAGGGAAAACCTCTGCCTGAGTTGTGACCACTGTCTCCTTTTCAACTGGAGTTGGACTCTGAGTTGTCTGGACCGTCTCTTTAATGGGTTCTGAGCTCTTCACTGTTTCCCATTCTAAACAAAATATTTGAAATTAACTTCCTTTGGATAGGTACAACTTTTCAATTTTTCCTATTTATACATCTATATCACATCTAAATCCTTCATCTACCTTGGTAAACTTTAGGAAACATCCACAACTTCGGTGCACTCTAGGTTTTTGCCCAGATATTAAGGAGTCCAAAAAAGCTTGATAAACAAGACATCTAAAGATAACACTTAGAAGAGATATAATAGAAATATATCACAAAGGATGTTAGATATACAAGGAGCCAGCCTTATCTATATTTTCATCACAAGATACAAGAAGAGACCAACAAAGGAAGTATTAACCCAATATAGAAAAATCTTCCTAAAAATAGAACTATGCAAAAATAGCACAAAGAGGCCCTATGGGCCCCCCTGTGGTTCTCCAACTCATTTAGAATAAAAAAATCAAATAAGATTAATAAGAATTTACCCCTTTGTACCCCTTAGCCTTCACCTCATATTCCTCCCTCACCCGCTCTGCTAAAGCTATCCAGTCTCCAAATTTCTGAATATAGACTTGCACTTCATGTTCCCTGTGACTGAATGCATTCTCCCCCAGAGGCTGTCTCACTTCTTTAAATAACTCTCTCCACCAGACCTACAATCACTTAAAAACTGTAATAAACACCCATATGCTTATCTTCCTTCTCTGCTTTTTTTTCTTATAACTTATTGACACAAACACTATACAATTTGTATTTTTTTTTGTATGTATTATCTATTTCCATTATAACATGGATTGGCAATGTCTTCCTATATAAGTATCACAGACTTTGTGGGCAATATGCTCCCTGTTGCAACCATTCAACTAATATTGCAAACAACAAGTCAAATGAAATGGGTAACCAAGTGAGACTATTATATTTCAATACATTTTTTGTGCAGAACAGCACACTGGCAGGATCTGACCGATGTACTGTGACCCCTGTGTTATACCTTATGTCAGTAATAATTTTTTGTATATTAGTCTCTGTCATAATTCCCATTCCAAAAATTAGGACTTACAAAAAAAAAAAGAAAGAACTAAAGTCTATATTAAAAGAATGAACGTTCTGGAGAAGAAGCTGAGGTGAGGTAAGGGAGACTAACAAAGAAAACAACTAAGGTCTTGCTTGATATTGGACTCAGGACCTTCACCCAGGCTAAGCGCACACTCTATCACTGAGCTATATTTCCTACCAAGAAAAAATATCTACATTGGCCGAACAACAAAAATATTGTGGAAATTAGCCAATTTTAATGAGAGCTAAGATGTGAAGAAATAAGTCACCAATCATATTTCAATTCTTTCCCAAATATCAATTTAATATTTCCTTCTGGATATAACTGCTAATTATCTTGTGAATTTATAACTGAAATCTTTTAATACAAAAAAGGTAAATTTGAAAAAAAGGAGACCAAATGATGTAGGTACTCCAGAAGTATTATTATATTCCATGAATGTGAATTGCAGCTTTTTAGACTAAGACTCTATTACTGGGGAGGCTGAGGCAACAGAATTGCAAGTTTAAATCCAACCAGCAAAAGTGAGGTGCTAAGCCTGTCACTAAAGAAAATACAAAATAGGGCTGGAGACATGCCACAGTGGTTTAGTGTCCCTGAATTCAATACCCGGTACCACCCCCCGACCACCACACACACACACAAATTCTATTACTGCTCTTCCCAACATGGACAATATTCAAAATAATCTGGAGAGCTTCTCAAAGACTTTCAAGCTCTCAGTTCCCACTGTACTCAAAAAATTAAAAATGTTTAGTCAAAAAACCTTCCATGTACACAAGTGTCAAAAAATAAGATATACATGAGGAATGCTACATTTATAATACACTTCTAATCCACAATTTTCTAACTATGCTTTTAAGACTTATGAAATAGGACCCATTAAACATATACAATGGACACAGCAGTGTTCTTTTCCCTCTTTTTTGGGAGATGAATTCAGTAAATAAAATAGAACAGTTCACTCTATCACTCCAAATCCATTTCAAGTACAACCTTCTAAATGTACCTTTTTAAATAAAAAAATGGCCTTAGGGGGCTGGAGTTGTAGCTCAGTGGTAGAGCACTTGCCTAGCACATGTGAGATACTGGGTTCAATCCTCAGCAACATACAAAAATAAAATAAAGGTTACTGTGTCTATCTACAATTAAAAAAAATATTTTTTAAAAAGGATTTAAAAATGGCCTTAGGGTTCTTACCAGTATTTACAGTTTCCTGATCAATCATGCCTCCTTCTGCAAAACCATCCAAATCATCCACTTTAACTTTTTCCCATGGTATATATGTAACTCCAAGATCCACATCCCAGAATTGTTTGTATTCTGTTTTTACACCTTTATTTAAAGCCCAAGCAATCTATTGGGAATGGGGAGAGGGAAAAAAGGAAGCTCTTATGTATACCTTAACAACAATGTAAAAAATTCAAAACTTTATTTTAATACTACAAATACAAGTAAAATTAGTTTTGCTAATTTTAAATCTGCATTAGTATAGTGTGTATAAGATTTATTTCCACTTCCTACTGTAACGCTAAAATAATACATTTCCAGAGACAATCCAAATATTGTTTTCACTATAAAAAGGTCAAATTTACATTAGCAATAATTAGGATAGTTATTACAATTCAAACAAAACCTGTACACCAAGAAAGAAAATGACTAGCTATACTTGAGTTTACAAAAATAACTTTGTCATGAAATGGCAAATAAAATAAACAGAAAGGAAGCTCATAAAATGGTACCATTGTTTACTCAGAAAATTGTACAAGTGTGGTTTTAAGGAATAATTTGACTAATGTTTGGTTACTGGACTTATTTTACCTATATCTAATTCTGTAACTCAACAATACTGAAGGAATGTTTCTGATGAGCTGTGCCTATAACATTAAAATGAAAACAAGGCTAAGGGCTGTAGCTCAGTGGTACAGTGCATGCTCCACAGGCTTGAGCCCTGGGCTAAATCTCTGGCAGTACACCGTGGGAGAAAAAAATGAACACAGCCAGGTGCAGCAGTATATGCCTGTAATCCCAGTAGCTCAGGCAGGATCATGAGTTCAAAGCCAGTCTCAGCAAAAGCAAGGCTCTAAGCAACTCATGAGACCCTATCTGTAAATAAAATACAAAATAGGGTTGGGGATGTGGCTCAGTGGTCAAGTGTCCCTGAGTTCAATCCCCCAGTACCCACCACACCCTCAAAAAAAAAAAGAACACCAAAAAGTTAAAAATCCCTCCCATTCCCTGCTCCTCCAAATCTCACCTTAATAACCTTGGAACCGATTTTATATGATCCGGAACTCAGTTTCTGAAGAGCCCGAAATGCATCTTGTCGATGTACCATACAGACATAAGCACAACCCCTGGGAGGAATCATCTATTTAAAAAAAATAATTTTTTTGTTTTTGTTTTTTTTAGAAAGAGTATAAGGATGGAAATTCATGTTGGATTTTATAGTTTTAGTGAAACAGAACACTGACTACTAACTAATACACCAATTTTTGTAGGTTAATCAACTAATTTCCCCTGTCCTTCTGTTTACTGATTTTGTTTATGTATTATTAATATTATTTATGTACAATTAACTCAGTTAAAAACAAAATTCAAAACCCAATTTGGCTTTATTTTAAGTCATAATATATGTGAAATCTTAAATATTGAATGTTAAGATTTCTTGAGTACAAAATAAAGAACTATTAAAACAAAATTAATTATGTATCTCCATATATAAAATACTACCAAATAAAAGGGAAATAATATTGTATAGCCAAAATGTTTGAAGGCAAATAATTTATTTCTAGTGATACTCTCAACTTTTTCAAATGATTAACTAAGGAATGTGTGAAGGGTTTTGTTTTGGGGAAGTATCATCCTTAATATAAAATCTGTATTCTTTAACAATTGATGATAAAACTACATTTGTTTTATTTTGAACAAGACTTCTGAACAAAGGTTTTAACAATAGAAAAATAATCTCAGTTACAGATCTGAAGAATGATTCATGAAGCATGTAAACTACTACACTCAAGTGCCCATGTGAGAGTGATTACTATTCTGTGAGACTGTTTCTTATATTCATCTTAAAAAAGAGAGAGGAAACAATACTAGGTCACAGTGTTCCTGCTAATTCAAACATTTGATGTTAAGAAAAAAGTTCTAGTTGGGTGTGCTGGTGGTGTAACACCAGCAATTCAGGAGGCTTATGCAGGAGGATAACAAGCCCAAGGTCAGTCCTGGTAACTTAGTGAAACCCTGTTTTAAATTTTAAAAAAGGGAACGTACCTCAGTAGTATAGCACTTCTGGGTTCAATCACCTGTATTGCAAAACTAAATAAATACAGTGCTAAACTACTAAAAAATCTACTACTAAGCTTAACTAGGAACTAAAGTAGATTCTTTAAATGAGTGAAAAGCTTGACTTTTAAAATTCAAATTATCATTTAAAAGGTGGTACTTACATTAATGGATTCAATTTGTCCAAACTCTTCAAAAAGATTGGTTAAATCTTGCTGTGTCGCTTTCTTGTCTACCTGACCAACCCAGAGAGTAGTGCTACATACTGTCAAGAAATAAAATAGACAAAATGACCTAAATCACAAAGATATATAGTTACTTCTTTCAAGTAACTTGAGGAAAAAGTATTAATGACAGATAAAATTCATAATATACTTAAAATACTTATTAATGGACACTTATATCTGTTATGTTTTTGATCGAATCAATTCCAACTACTCAGTCACATTTCCACTGTGTCAACCTCTTGCATGTCACCTGTTCTCAATTTAACCAGTGTCTCCTGTAGGAGACTGCGAGTGGTACATGGCGTGCTGCACCAGAATATGGGAGGTTTTGTTTTTGTTTTTATCTTAATTCCCCCAGCTGACCACAATGTGCAACAAAGTTTTAAAACCACTTCCCATTACAATCTTATCCATCAATCTTTCAAATATCCTTCAGTATTAGAATGAATAAGTGGATGTTTTCCCTAAAAACAAATAAATCTGAAAGCCATACTACCTACTTTATCATTAAGGAAATAATAATACTCTGCACAGAGATTAAATGGGGAAAAGACTTTTCAGGAAGCCATCCAAGAAATGAGGATCTTCTCTTGGCACGAAGCCACGGAGAGTAAGGTTTGGCCGTGGGAACTATACCTAACTATACCACTGCAAAGGACTGCCCAATGCATGTGACCTTTATCTTCACATTACTAGGAAGATCCCCCATAGAAGCTCCGGAAATGGGCATAACCAATTAGGAACTGAGCAGCCCACCTTTAACCTTTTTTGGTGGAAAAGAACATTCTATGGAAGGCCTTTGATGTTTCTCGATATAAATAAAGCAGGAATGGGCTCCATTTTGCCATAGTCTACAAGCTCGATCACTCTGATCAGCTTGCCCATTCTGCCCTGCTTCTGACATTACTTTCTGAGTTCTAGTTTTTTCTAAGTTTTTATTTCTCAGCCAGCCCATTCCACAGAGGGAATTCCATTCCACTGCCTATACGGGACACGGGCAAGACGACTGAATTATAACTCCTTGTTATAATTTTATTTCCTTAATAAAATGTAGACTCTCTGTCTACTTTCACCTGGACTATGCCTCCATGAATACCACCTTTTATTGAGGATATTTATATTACAGCTGACACTAAGTTTTAATATACTGACTTTGGATTTATGTCAATGTCATTTTAAAAATGAAGTTTCCAGCTTTCTGACTACCTTGATCTTGATAGGGCAGGTCTAGGACAGGCTCTACTCTGGGGTCAACTTAACCTCACACTGGAGTACGATTGTTGGCAAGGTCATTTTGGGTCCTTCCACTCTGGCTTTTCAAAACACAAACATCTTCCAGACCTATGTAAGCCATAGAAATTATTTAGCTATCACAGAACACTAATAAATGTTCTTTCATTGCTAGCTACTCTTTGTCTCATGTAGCATTATCCTACACATATATAATACTTAACCAAAAAAATCTTTCCATCTCATGATCCTTAATATTTTTAAAATATTAAATTAGAGCTTTAGGGTTTTTTATTGTTGTTGTTGTTGTTTTGAGAGAGAGAGAGAGAGAGAGAATTTTTTAATATTTATTTTTTAGTTTTCGGTGGACACAACATCTTTGTTTGTATGTGGTGCTGAGGATCGAACCCGGCCTGCATGCATGTCAAGGGACCGTGCAACCGCTTGAGCCACATCTCCAGCCTTAGAGCTTTAGTTTTAAAAGGACTACAAAGTCTGTCTTACTATAATTTGGATGCAAAATGTCCCATAAAGAGTTGGCTGACAGACAGTGATACTATTGGGAGATGGTGAAACTTTTAGAAGATGATGCCTAATACAAGGAAAAATAGGTCACTGGGGGCTTTCCCTTGAAGGCGATACTGGAACCTCAACCCCTTCCTCCCTCTCTCTCTCTGTTTCCCAGACCCATGATATGAAGTGGTCTCCTGTACATCCTCCCATGATGCACTATGCCACCACAGTCTGAATGACAACAGGACCAAGCAACCATGACTAAAACCTCTGAAATTGTAAATCAAAATAAAACTTTTCCTTACTGAGGTGGTTACTTATTATATTTTGTTACAGTGATAGAAAGCTAACTTACCTGCCTTCTAATGCAAATGTTTTACAAATTGCAGAAATACTGGATGTAAAATATCTTTTGGGAGCCCATTATTCAATCTACCACAAACCCTTAGCAGTCTGATTAAGTTATTTGACTAGCTCCTTCCTCTTCCTTACTCTGTCTTGCATTTTTCTAGCTGTCTTAATATCCCCAAATTCTATTCATGTTTCCTAGCTCTTTCTTGTAATCTTTCTACAAATTTTCCTAAGAAGCAAAAATGATTCTCCCTGACTCCATGAGAAGTTGTAGATACAACATATCTCCCAAAAGTTCATGTGTGAGACAACCCAAGAATTTTCAGATGAAACGATTAGATTATAAGGGATGTGACCTAATCGTTGGATTAATCCACAAATATGAACTAATTGGGCATTAATTGTAGACAAGCAAGATATGGTTGGAAGAAGAAGGTCACTGGGGTTGAGCCTTTAGGGTTTACATTTTGTCCCTGGAATGCAGAGCTCTCTCCAAACCCTTCTGCCAGATGTTCTGCCTTACCTAGGGTCCAGAGCTATGGAGTTGGCCAACTACAAAATGAACCAATGAAACCAAAAAAAAAAAAAAACTTTTTCTCCTCTAGATTGTTGTTATTGATTTTTGTCATTGCTAAGAAGGCTGACTAAAAAAGGAGAGGACAACTTGATTCCTGGAATGTTACTGTTTGTTGATGCTTCATATTTCTTGAACTATTTTCAAAAATCTTGTGTTCTAAAATCTACTCTAAGCACCAATAACAGGGAAGCACAACCGCATGAGTTTATTATATGTAGAGAGAATATTGATCAGAGGAATATGATATTGTTTCAGAGTAAAAATAGTTCTGTAGTTAACAATGTGAGATATATTCTTCACTGTATTTTCTAATTTTATTTTTTACTGTATGATATTTTACTCATGAAAATAACAGTAATAAAACCTAAATTTATGTCAGGAACGGTAGAACATGCCTGTAATCCCAGCGGCTTAGGAAGCTAAGGCAGGTAGACCTTGAGTTCAAAGCCAGCCTCAGCAATTTAGCAAGGCCCTAAGCAACTCAGTAAGACCCTGTCTCTAAATAAAATATAAAAAAGGACTGGGGATGTGACTCAATGGTTAAGCACTTAGGTTTAATCTCTGGTGCCACAAAAATGATTGATAGATAGATAGATTGATTCCATCATATTATTCAGCCATAAAAAGGAATGAAATCTCTCATTTGCAGGATAATAGATAAAAATGGAGAAGACTGTGATAAGAGAAATAAAGGGGGCGGGCACGGGCACACACACACACACACACACACAGAACACCACATCTTCTCACTCAGATGTGGAAGTTAAAAAAAAATGATTTCATAGAAGTAGACTAGAACAAAGATTCAAGGGTTAGCAGAAATTGGAAAGGTATGGGAGAGATTCATAGAAAAAAGCTGATTTTTGGGTAACAAAAAAAGTTGATTTTCTTCTTTTTTACTTCTTTCCCTTTACTTTTTTGCAGTATTGGAGATTGCACTCAGGGCTTCGTGCATGCTAGACCACTGAGCCCTATCCCCAGTTCAGCTGGATAAGAGGAATAAGTCTGGTGTTTTATAGTAAAGTAGGGTGACTAGAGTCACAAGTTTATTACATTTCAAATAGCCAAAAGAATGTTCCCAGTACAAAGAAATAATAATTGTCTGAGATGATGGATATGCTAAATGCCCCGACATGATCATTACATATTGTATGCATGAATAGAAATGTCACATTGTACCCAACAAATATGCACAATCATTGGGTGTCAATTAAAAAATAATAAGTTTTAAAAAAAAGAAAATAGATTCCACGGTCAACAGCTATGTAATGGTGACAGCAACAATGTAAGTGAGAACTAAATGAAAGAGACTCTAAATAGTAGTTCTACCTTCATACTGGTTAATGAGTAATTCTGAATGTTCTACTGGTAACCATTCAAGGAGGCATAGTAGAGATTTTGGACGTTATTCCTTTATCAGACAGCACTTAATAATTTTACATTTAGTCTCTCACCCAAAGGAACAAAGAGACACATACAAAGATAAAATATCAATATTAAATACTACCTCCCATAACCAGATTCTCAGAAGATAGTCAAGACCTACTCGAATTGCCAAAACTTAATCAGAAGATGGGTGTTGCTGCCTTTAATTTTAGGCCTGCAATTTCATAATGCTTTAGTAGCACACATTACACCAAATATTTATCTATCCCTCATGCAGAAATAATTTGGAAACTTCAGAAATTAGGTACCATGATTAAAGTTTACTTCTTAACAAATGATCATAACTTGCTACATTTTATATACATCTGTGCCCATCTATAGTCTACTAGTTCACCTTAGAAGTGACAACCCAATAAAAATGCCCTTGCAGAATTTGGCAGTAATTCATTTTATTATGCTATACTTGACAATTCTATTATATGAATGTCCCCTAGTCTGCTCCTAAAACAAACTCAACCATTACTAAATTTGTTCTAATTATACACAAAAGATTAAGATATAAAGAGGGAAACAGCCTGTACAATAGGAATTCCTCATCGAGAATTAACCTGCAAGTTTATAATATGGTTTAAAAATTATAGCAAAGTAGGGCTATGTGCATGTCTCCATGCTAGAGTACTTGCCTAGCATGAGGAAGTCCCTGGGTTCAAGCCCTAGGTCTACAAAATTAATAAGTAAATTTTACACACAATACAAAGTGTATTCTTCATGTAATAATTACTTCTATAAAACTGGTGTTCACAGTTGGTTAGGATGCTGTAAATAAGAGAAATTGCATTATGCTATAGATATTAACCTGGTCTGCTTTATGTGTCATTAAAGTCATATTTCCTGACTTGCATTAAATTTTTTAAAAAATCTACTCTAAACATTCTTAGTATTTGAGTAGAATCTACTTTTCCTTTTTTTCTGTCACATTAAAAAAAAACAACAAAAAACTAGGACATAATCATTCATTTACCTAACCCATTTTCAATTTTTTAGTCCAAAATAGTTTGGTTTAGAGAACTTACAGGAGATAACTATTTTTTGAATGTATTGAAACCAAAGTTTTACAGAAGTATGTTACTTACCACTTAATGTTTTAGATCTAATTGGAGGTAATCCCTTCTTTTGTCGTTCCTTCTCCCTTTCTCTGGCTCTCCTTTCACTGGAGTATGAACGTGATGACTTCCTCTTCCTCTCTCTTGAGCGGGACCTTGATCGCTTTCGGTGTTTACGCTTGCGAGAACCAGATCTTGACCTGGACCTCCGTTTCCTTGGTGATCTACAAAAACATACAAAAAAACACATTTCTTTTTATTTTTAAGGACAATGTTGTCCTTCTTTAACACTGCTCAATTCTAAATGAGGGGAAAAATGTATATTCAGCTAACTCTTAAAACATTTAACATTATATCAAACACACATAGTGCTCAATTCTCAGAGCAATGTAGGTTCACATTAACCACAAATATTTGTCTAGTGCTTCTGAGTCTTAGCGATTATTCACTATCAGGAGCAAGAAGAATAATGAGATTTGAGAAAGGACTTCACTATAAAATGTAGGCCACTAAATAATTCAGTTTAATGTTGGTCAACTTCTAAAATTCATACAGTGCTTGATTGAAAGGTGATACTAAAATACTTTTTAAAATTTACTGTACAAATTCTCAAGAACATTCACATATAAAAATTAGGGTCTAAAAAAATGTTAAAGAGTGGTTAAATTACTGGTTTGGTGGTGCATGCCTGTAATTTCAGAGATTCAGGGGAAGCTGATGCAGAAGAATTAAAAGTTCAAGGACAGCCTACATAACTCAGGAAGGTCCTGTCTCAAAAAAATAAAAAGGGTTAGGGATGTAACTCAATGGTAGAATGCCCTGGGTTCAATCCCTATACTGCAAAAAAAAAAAAAAAAAAAAAAAAATCTGAAAAAGTTAAAGCCTAGTGAGCCCATAAATACAAACATTTCTTATAATGGCTTTAAAAAAATAATTTTGGGGGGCTGGAGTTGTGGCTCAGTGGTAGAGCGCTCTCCTAGCTTGTGCAAGGAGGCCCTGGGTTTGATCCTCAGCACCACATATAAATAAAGGTATTGTGTGCAACTACAACTAAAAAATAAATAAACATTTAAAGTAATAATAATAATAATTTTTAAAGTTTTATTTTTCTGGTCATTTTTAATATCATAAAGTAAACTGAAATGCAAGAAACATGGCTTGATTTAATGGCTGTTGAGAGGCAATAATATCCTAAACTAGATGCCTTCCTAGTAGTATTATTAAATCAAGTATAACCCAAATCCAGTCTCTTGATACAGCTATTATTATATAAATTACTCAAATCAATAGCACAAACATTCTAAATATAAAAATGGAACAAAGGTTGTTTCTTTTTTTTTTTTTTTTTTTTTCCAATAGGGGGGTGAGGATTCTTGGGGATTGAACCTAGAGGCATTTTACTACTGAGCTACCTCCCTCAGTCCTGTCTAATTTGATAAGGTCTCTCTAAGTTGGTAAGGGCCCAGCGCTAAGTTGCTGAGGGTGGCCTTAAACTTGTGATTCTCCTGTCTCAGCCTCCTGAGTCACTGGGATTACAGGTGTGTACTAACGTACTCCCAGCCTGTTCTTGATTTTAAAACACATTTTATGATAACATTTCAAAAATCAGTCAAAAAAAAATCTTTTAATCTTGATGGAAAGAAAAAAAGCCAACATTTTAAAAAGTTCACACATAGTTACTGTTAAATAATATTATAGGACCTTGAACGAGATCGCGAATGAGTTCTTGATCTGGAACGAACAGCCACTTTCTTAGCTTCTTGTTCAAAGATTTCCTCTTCCACTCCATCTTGTCCTTCATCTATATCCATATCCTAGAAAGAAGAAGACACATAAAAATCCCAGCTTAGATTTAGTTACATAATATCATTTGTGCCTTAAAAAATATTCATGATAATGACATTACTGCTTACTAGGAAAAACAGATGGACTGTGACGCTTCAGAAAACCACATGAGGACCTTACCACTATACAACATTTTGTTTTATTTAAATAAGTTTATAAACTACGACTAGATAAAGCATTTATTTTTACCTGTTGCTGTATATCTATAGAATCATCCAAATTTGTTTCAGGTTCAAGAAAATGTTGCTGACTACTCCCTTGTGATGGTGACGCTGAATGCTCTGATCCAAATGTCCCTTCTTGACTATCTTGAGGAGTTGCCTGTTGAGAGCACACAAATGTTGGGAGATAATTTAATTACAAATGCAAATTTATACACAGCAGATATCACAATAAAATGTTTAAAAGTAGTCCAACACATAAAGAAATTTCATGTTAAATAATTTTTAAAGTTATCAATCTAAAATTGCACTTGTACATAAATACAAATTTACTTGAAATCAGGGAACATTAGAGAGGGTACTTCAGATATTTGAGTAAAATGTTCTTTGATTTTTAGTTATTTTTGGTAATGTCCAAATGGCTATTAAAGCAGAAGTTCAGAAGTTCTTCTCCTATAATCACTAGATGGTTGCAATTCTCACTATTAAAAGGCAAGAAACAGATTAGATATATCATTTAATTTTGTTTGAGTTGCATCACGTTACAATAATTTCTTGAGGTTCTTTTTTAAAAAAAAAAAAAAACATAAAGAATTCCAAACACATTCAAAGTAGAATAAATGTCAAAATGATCCTCAAAAATTAGTTTCCTAGGCCTTAGGGTACACTGATTTTAAATCACCTTTGTACATATGCTTTTTCTAAACTAAGAGAACTCTTGAGAATTATTTATTTCAACCTCAAAATGTCTTTTTAATGAAAGAGAACTTATCCTGGCAATAATACAAAATCTATTTTTCTTTCATGTTTTTCCTCTATGGGAATAAAGAACACAATAGCACATAGTAGCTATTTTGGCCATAGTCAGCATTCTTCTTTAACAATATCGTTAAGTATATACTAAAACTGATTATTTTATGTGTCCTTAAAAAAATTTCAAAGCAAGATCAGGACTTAAGTGTGAATCGCACCAAATCAATTAGAATAGGAATTTATTTTCAAGGGCATTTTTAAAATATTATTCTTATAAGTACTAACAATCAAACTGAAAGAAAAGAGCAAAATGAGAAAAAACAAAAATTAAAGAACAGTTTCAAGTCCCTTAATTTATGAGAGAACAGGCAACATTTTCAAGGTTAAGAAATAAAGCTAGAGTTTGAATAAAACAGATAGCAGTCTCTATACCATGATATATAAAGTTGGCAAGTGTTATCTTCCAGATGTGTTTTAAGCATGCCCCTGGCTTAAGCCTTTAAAATGGTACAATAACAGCAGAATTTGTTAGTAACACAGCAGATGTTTTCCAACTTCATCCTTTCACATTTAGTCGTAATTCAATGCTCGTCTATTGTCATGTTATTTTTTACTTCAGCACTCATCTTAAGCTCTACATCTATCTGATCCCATTTGTAGTTCACCCTTAATTATTTAACAGGTTAACCCTTAGTGTAATATCAAGATCCACTGCAACCAATTTTAGTTTTTGAGTTTCTTTTTTCAGCAGTTTTACCTATTTGAAAAGATTGCTATTCTTAAACTTTTTCCTTTTTAAAGAACTTACAAAGAAAAAAAAGAAAATTTATTATGTTATTTTGCAATTATGTTTATTAAATAAATAAACATAAGATATGTCACGGGTTTTTAGAGGTCTTATTTTCCTTTATTTTTAAACATTTGCTATTTTATTATTCCCAAGAATTATTTCATTATTACAAAAGATTATTCATCATTTATTCCCAATTATGTCAAAAAATAAAATAAAACCAACAGAGTTGTTGAAAGGGGTGATTTAATAGTGAAATAAATATCATTATTGAGTTTTAATACATGAACAAAAATACTGTGCTATACTTCAAGAAAAGGATTAGACACCATCTCTATAGTCTACTTTTATCTTTCCCTGAACAGTTGAAAATTTAATTTATACATTTTGGCCCTTAATAGCAAAGGAAACAAAACAGGGAAATGTACTTCATATTCATTAGACAAATGTGAATGCAAACAAGATTGCAAAACTGAGGGTGAAATTTAACAGAAAAACATAATAAGCAGCAGGTCGTGAATTTTCCATCCATATCACCAAGAACTGGTACAAGAAAAATCTCTCTAAGGGCAAAAGGGAAATATGAAAAAAAGGAAAAATTCTCAGCCATTTCAACAGAAAAAATTTTTATCTTGCAGTGTTTTCCAACAAGATCCTGCAATGTTCCGTTTTATTTAAAGGATATAAAATATTTGAATTTGACACCAAAAAAAGCTTTGCAACATCGAAATTATATTAAAATTCCTACTACAGCTCCCCTTCTCTCTATAGTCTCACTTCCATAATTATTTATAACATGACTTAAAAAGATAAGAAAAAGAGACCTTCACTGGCCCAAAGTGGCAAATAACTTTTCTAGTTTACATCCTATTTATACATGTCTACTTCCTTCTGAATATCTTCATACAAAACAGCAATGAAAATACTGGGGTGGGGAGAATAAGGTTAACAGCAGCTAGCAGACACTTCTTTCAAGTTTGGCCCTAACACTGTAATATGTCACATTTTAATCAGTTATAAAATTCTTTTCTCTCTCTCTTTTTTTTTAATGTAGAAGTGTTAATAAAGACTCAAAGATTTTACTGAAATACACATATGCTATACCTTAGCATCGACCTGGATTTATGAATCAAATAACACTATAATTTCAGTATTTGAAAAGGAAATTCATCTGAGATTGTAGACAGCAACTCATATACAACAACTCAGGACTCTTTACATTACTCATGACATTTCATCGTTTTCAATTCTACTATTTCTATTGTACTATGTAAAAATTTTTCTGAAAAAAGTTACATATTTCTGATATCTTAATAAGAGTGCTTCATCAGTATTATTATTTATTTATTTATTTATTTATTTTAGTTGTAGACGGACACAATACCTTTGTTTATTTTTATGTGGTGCCAGGCCTCACACATGCTAGGCATACACTCTACCACTGAGCCACAAACCCCAGCCCCTTCCTTAATCTTATTAACTTATTATTGATTATTATTAATTAACTTATTATTAATCATTAGTCTTATTATTAACTTCCTTAATCTTATTATTAACTTCTTTGAAAATATTCCCATTGGATTTCATTTTGAGTTATAGCTCTTGTGACCTTTTAACTATCCTAATAAACAATTAGAAAAATCATAAACTTATTTAACATAAATCACTCCTCTTCTGACATAATTCCTAATCCCTTCACAATTCTTACCATTTTTCTCCATAAAAGTGTCCAATTTTTCAATTTTGAAAAAAAATTTTAACTTTAATGGAAAATAACAATCAACATACACCACAGGTGTGATTAAGAACTGCAATGAGCAGGACAGCACTATCAATCCTATTACACCTTTAACTAAGACCCTACGATAACTTACACAGTCATGTTGAGCTTACTGGTAAATGAAAATGCTTACCTTTTTTTGCTTATCTTACTTTAAATTAAGTACTTAACTAAAGAAAAAAATTTGGTTGATGCAATCACAACCTATTAAATTGAACTGATATGCAGTTAACTTGCTTTCCTACTCTAAACCTGTTAGTTTCACAATCACTGTCCATGAGAAAAGTTTTTTTTCCCTTCATCTCCTCTTTTCTTCATTGGATTCATTTCAAACGATGAAGCTTTTAAGAACTTCCATTCTATCCAAAGGAAAGTGTTTATTTAAGTGGTGAAACTCTGGAATTAATATACAGAATTAGTAACTAAGTCTAGAATTCTCTTATTGGTAGGTGAGATTCTTAGGCAGACTGGCGCTCTTTCAAATTTTTAGTTTATTTTCACTTTAGTTTAGTTCTAAAGTATTACCCTTGACTTTACTGCTTCTGCTAAACCTTCTGAAATGAAACTAAGGCAATTCAAAAAGTGTCATATTTAGAGCTGAACAAACGTGCTGCTGGATAAACTCTTCTGTCTCTACCACATGCTACCTCTGCATCAATTCTGTGATTTTGTATCACATCACTGACAACCAATTTCTTTTGAGTTTCATTGTGTTTTTCTTTAAATATACTACCTTTATTCTGACCAATTCTATCAGAATTAGTTCCTCAAAACAAGGTATAAAATTCCATTCTATAATTCTATGCATGAGTTCCATGAATATCCATTTTACACTTATTACCTGCATTAAAAGGACAAGCGCAGGCCCCATCTATGTCTAAAGTTTGCTATACCTGCCACCTAAAATACCCATTCCTGTCTGAATACACAACCAGTGTAACTGCACATCATGCACAACAACAAAAATGGGAAGTTATACTCCATATATGTATAATATATCAAAATGCATTCTACTGTCATGTATATCTAAAAAGAGCAAAAAAAATTTTTTTTAATGAATGAATGGATTAATTTAGCAAAGATTGTTTAAAAATTGCAATGACAGTGTTGCAAATTTTCTTCCAAAAGAATGAAGGAGTGACCAAGGTCCTCATACTTTTGCTATGAAACATATGATTTAGACATTTTAACAATGGAACCAATTCTGTATTTTTGGATAAGTCAACAGATAATTTCATTTGAACTAACTTTAAATTTTTAGAATACATCTTGTATACTCATTGTAGAATTCTTCTTAAAAATGCGTATTAAAAACAAAAGGCATTTGTAACCTCAAAAAATAAAAAAAATAAAAAGTACCCATTCTCTATTCCATAGTGCCAAGACCCTTTACTTTAACCTCTATTTAAAAAACTACAGAATTCTGCGATGTGCTTACACAAATGTATGTGCTCCACCAGAGAAGAGGTTACTTGAAGCCAGAACTCAGAAAACCATTTTCCTGTACAACTTTGTATACATGGCTTTCCTAAAAATGTACTAAGAATGTACTGCTCTTACTTTTAAAATTTTTGTAGTACTGTGCTAAATTCATTAATCTCTAGTTTTTTTATTAAAGGGAAACAGAGGACCTTCCTAACACTCCTAAACAGTTGGTATCTATAAATATTTCTCATATATAGCAGAGATATGCTTTGTAAATGAGTTTAATCTTTGCTCTGCAACTTGACATATTTTATCAATTCTAACGTGTAATATTTTTTTAAGGTTTATTATCCCTCAAATTAGTAAGATTCTTATACCTCAAAAGGATGTTAGGCTGTAATTAGAAGTATTTTGAAAATCTCAGTTATATATAAATAATGTTGTGTCTTAAGATTGATCATATATAATATTGGCTTTGTACTTTTGCATTAGATATTTAATTTCACCAAACTTCAACTTCTTCTGCAGTAAAATAAAAGTCACAGTGTCTACCTAATGAGAATTAAATGTAATTATGCCTATATTTTTCCTATTACATTGCTGATAATGCTCCTAAAACAGGGTAACAGCAATAAAAATTTTAGGATTAAAAAAGGCAATCTATTTTGTCGTCATTATCATCACCGGTAACACAATCATCATTGACTTGTTAAACGGAATAGAATTTACATCAAGGTTTAAATGGCAATTCTGAAACTCCACCTCTTCCTTCTATCCAGTGGTACACTGGTATTAATTTCTACAATATAGATTCATTAAGTTGCCAGAATACATTCTGATTACAGAAAAAAAAAAAAAAAACTATGTCTTGAAAAGACTGATCTTCCTAGTGATAAACATTCAAAGAAAAATTACCATATCTATGAAAGGAAATAAAGTGGTAAAAATAAGAGAGGAAAAAACACTCTATTAATACCCAAATCAAACAAAAACCAATCATCCTATAAATAATACGAACAGCAATAACTCCTAAGACCACAAGATGGGGTTATGAACCTTTTGAGGCTGTTGCTGTTCCAGGAGCTGCTGTCTGAGATGTTCAAGGTTTTGTTGTTGTAGTTGTTCTGCTATCTGATGAAAAATGGAATTGTTCACAGATTCTGAAACATGAGAACTAAAAGGAAAGTAGAAATATATTTTAAAATCCACTAAAGATAATATGATAATTACTATTTTTTCAAAGGAAACAAAAGCCATCTCAAGAAATCATATTCTATTATAATGTTTGCTTCTAAAATATTAACACAAAAAAGAGAATACCTCAGAATATTAATATGAAGATAAATAAATTCAATAGTATTTTAATGGGTCTGTAACATGTCAGAGATGCTCGGTTGAAGATTTCAGGCTATTAAATACATATACATTAGTGATTTTAAAATAAATCTCAATAAAACACTTTTATAAACAATTTAAAGTATTTAAACAATGTCATTTCAACTCCTTCTCTAACTATGAGATAGTGTGGAATATGCTACATCAATCAGTATATGTAAAACTTAGAATTATAATTGACCATAAAAAATGTATATACTTAGAAAGCATACCTGTTATTTATTAGGTATATTGACACAAATGGTATTTAGACAAGAGAAAACAATTTCAACTATGCTCTGGGAAATGCACACCTGGAAGAACCTGGAATTCTGGGTTCCATAAGGTAAGAAATGAACTAAAAATTCCCCCCAAGGGCTAGCAAGATTTTGAGAACTTTAGAAACCATTGTCGGGGTTGAGGGGTGGGACACCTTCATCCGGAGCAAATAAACCTAACAAGAAGAACAACAGCTACCTTCAAATACTGAAAGACTAAATCTCAAAATATAATGGAGCAAATTCGTCTCCACACTTTAAAAAGCAAATCCTGAATCAGTGTGGAAAATAAACGGAATTTAGTTCAAGAAAAGAACATGTAATAACATGTTAAATTAAATGTTAATTTAATTAAATTCTCATTTCTGAAAGGCATTAACACTGGATATTTAAACTATCAGGACTGTTAAGGATATTCTTATATTTTTCTTAGGACACTGATTTACATGATGGGGACTGAAACCAAGGGTGCTCTACCACTAAGCTACATCCTTAGCTCTTTTTAGTTTTTATTTTGAGGCAGAGTTTCCTAAGTTGCCCAGATGGCCTTAAACTTTAACTTCTGCCTAAGCCTCCTAAGCAGCTAGGATTATAGGCATGTGCCATCACATCAAGCAATTTACATAACTTCAAATGTTCCTTCAATTTTTATAATTTATAATCAAAACTTTTAATAATTTTCTCAACGACCCATAACATCAATTCTTATTTCTGATTAGTCTGATGCACTTCCTAGAAGCAGATTTGGCACTAGAAGAAAGTGTCTGTCCTTGTATTGAAAATATTCTTAAATTTAAATTAAATTAAACAAATAGATGTAAAAACATCACAATTAGCTTTACTCTTTTAATTATCTTTATTTATTTTTATGTGGTGCTGAGGATCGAACCCAGTGCCTCACAAATGCTAGGCAAGCACTTTACCACTGATCCACAACCCCAGCCTATATCTTTACTCTTATTTATCATTTTTCCTATTAAAAAAATTTTGACATAGTACAACTATTTGCAAAACTTGAAAAAGAGTACAAATAATCCAGGGAGACAACAAAACAGCAATTCTGCCACCTTTCTGTATGTAAGAATTTAATAGCCTGACATAACAATCCTAATTGAGTCAAAGTATACTTAGTAGATGGTAACATCCTACCCAATATTTACAAAAGTCACAGAAAAAGAAAAATATAATTCTTACAGTTGAGGTGTTGGAATTTCCTTTTTGGGTTCTTCACTATGCTCAGAATCGTCCCCAAAATCAAACCTATCCATCAACTTCTGGTGGGAGGGGAGCATGACAAGGAAAAAGAGACAAATTAAAGTGTTTTACATAAATATTTAAATGTTACTTATATCCCATTAGTTTATCTCTTTATTTAATATGTTTTATATCATTGTATACTATACTCTTTCTAGAGAGAGAGCACCATGACATACATAGTGAGTAGTCCTCTTTATCCAGTTTTGATTTCTGCAGTTTCAGTTATCCAGTCAACAGCAGCCTATTGTCTTGGTTTGTTCATGAGACCATAGTCATATATAATTTTCATTATGTTAATGATGTGCCTAATGTATAAAATGTTATTAATGTTAATTAAGCAGACGTTAATTACTATGCCTAATTTATAAATTAAATTTCATTGCAAGTATGCACATACAGGAAGAATGTCCCGTGCATGTGTGTGCGTGCGTGTGTGTGAGTGTGTGTGTGTACAATTTGGTACTATCCACAGTTTTAGGTACCCAGCAGAGGTCCTGGAATGTATTCCAGAGGACCAGAGAGATCTACTGTATTGTCTTAAATAACAAAACAAATTATAAAATAGATAATATAATCACTGACACTAATCTTACATAAGACTAAGGATTAAAATAATGAAGTGGTCTGCCATGTCAATACAGCTTGGTAACACCTAGAAGCATAAACAATGCATCTATCCCTTGATAGAACATGAAGATCCTCATCTTCATATGTTCTGTCACCTTCTGAATATTCAACTTAAAGGCTTTTTATGTGGGCAAGCTATTTAGATTAAGTAAGACTTAGAAGCTGCTACCTCAATGGAAAATACACTGACCATTTATCTTTAGTTTAAAAAAAGTATTTTAAACATCTGAAGAGGAATTTTTAAAGTCTAAATCTTTTTTAAATTTAATATATTTTCTACAGTACAGTGTATATCGACAGAATATGATAAAACACAATTTATAGAATCCACATGACACTTCACACAATTTAACACTGCCTATTGAATGCATCCAATATTTTAATGGCTACCTTGTTGAAAGGGACTCCCTGATCCAAGGGAGTGAGCGTGTTGGCTGCTGCAGCTGCAGCTGTAAGCTGTGCTGTGAGAGCCTGCAATTGAACCACAAGACCAGCATCCAGGGCCTGGAGGATGGAAGGCTGCGGTTTCTGCTGCTGTATCTGTAAGGTCTGTATTAACTGTTGAAGCTAGAGGAAAAATAATTATTATAAAACAGTTGTTGGAATTTACTCATAAGAGTGCCCATGTAAAACTTTTAGTTAATAAATTTAATCATTCTACAATCTTGGGCAATCAAAAAAAGTCTTTCCTAGTATGCATATACAACACAGTCCTTAGTAAGTCTGTCTTCTAGGAAGTCAGGAAACTTTAAATAAAATAAAGCACTTATACCACAACAAACAGAAAAGGGACTCCTGACAAGATAAATAATACTTTTCACTATGCTTCTCACCCCTTCTTCAATTAACTCCATGAAGGGATAAGTATTGACAACAGCAGAGCTTTTGTTATCATTCAGACATATCATCTAAGAACATATCCTGAAAGGAGAGTAATTAAGAAATTTATTCTTACAGCCAACTTTGAGACTAAAAAACAAGTTATTAACAATGAAGAGTGTCAAGTACAGTAAAAAGAAACCCACTTCCCACTATTTACTCACCTTTGCTAAAAAACTTGTAAGATCCATAAATAAGAAATCCCTACATTCATCACAGAAATAATACATAATTGAGTTCTAAATCTGTAATAGGCACATTGGTGCAGTTGGAGAGGAGTAACTTCTACCAAATGCTAGAACTATGATTAACTATTAATTATTTTAAATAGCCATTAGAGATTTTTAACATTCCCAACAAAAAGAAATTTAAAAAAGGACTGGGGTAATAGATATGCCAATTACCCTGAACTTATCATTACACATTATATACATACATATATACACATATATAACCTTTAAGTATGCAAAATTACTATGTGTCAATTAAAAATGAAAATCATTTTGAAAAAGCCCTAAACCTGAAGTATATATGAAAATTATCAATTTATATTTGAAAAAGAGAACAGCAAACTGATTGTCAAGACATCTGTATTCCCTTAAGTTCAACTTTTAGTATGAGAAAGTACAAATAACATGCAAGATGACAGTAAATAAAATCATTCATGTCTATTCTAAAATAGCAACATTAGGGTACAAACTAGAACCATTTAACCACCAAGCATCTTCTTCAAAACTACTAATGGGATAAAAAAGAAAATGCAATACTACATGAGAGTTAACTAACTGCACCCCAGAAGCTCCAGAATGACTAAGACCAATAAATACATATAAGATATAAATTCTCCACATTACTGTGGTGAAAAAAGTAAGGAAAAGGACAACAAGAATAGAAAGGGAAATTAAAAAAATACCATATTTATCCTTTATACATTTTAACTATTCCTTTTGACATCGCCATTTTTCCCAGCCACACTGTTATTCTTTCAGTCACCCAAATTCAAAATTACCTCAGCATTTTTTTCCTCTACTGCCATCATGTTTGTCAATATCTTCATTATCTGTGTGTAATTAACCCTCCTTGTACTATTTTCTTTGGAAAGCAATAAAAATAACTCCATACTTCTGGAAAATTTATATAAAAAATATTTACTTGGTAGTATCTTTTAAAATGAGAACATGCTTTATATAAACTAATGTAAAGGGATTACCACAAAATAATTTTATCATTTCAGCTAATACTGGTCCATAATCAGTTTCCCAAATGTTTCAAAAATGTAGAAACTCTTGTGTGCATGTATCAGTATATAATAATGAATCCCACCATTATGTATAATTATAATGCACCAATAAAAAATATTTTTTAAAATATGCAGAAACTGGGCTGGGGTTGTAGATCAGTGGTGGAGCAGTTGCCTAGCACATGTGAGGCACTGGGTTCAATCCCTCCAGACCACATTTAAAAAGGTACTGTGTCTGTCTACAATTTAAAAAATGCAGAAACTGTATCCAGTCTAAGACTACTCATTGAGTTGATTTTTATATTAAAAAGACTGGACAGGCCTCACATTTTTGAGCTTATCTTTTTCAGAGAATTCAGAATCTTAATATTTTCCCCATAGTCATTACCTGTCTTTCAATATCACTACTACTAAAAGGAAGATATTCCCTATCTCTAGACTTCTCTCCATCTTATTTAAGGTACTAATCAGATCATTTGGCTTCAGTATACAGATTTATCCATTCCCCATTGCTCAGTAAATGAACTGTCATTTCTCAATTTGCTTTCTATGGTTTTCAAAACCAACTCTGTTATACCTCTGTCATTAATTCCACAAAAATATACTGAATACCTACTATCATCTAGACATAGTGGAAAAAAAACAACAGACAAAAATCCTAGGCCTAGTATAACATACATAGTACAGCAGGAAGAGATGAAGTAACATCATCATCCAAAAAATAAATGAATTATATAATGTCATATAAGGTAGTAAATGCTAAGGAAGGAAATAAAGGTGAGAGTCAAAGTAAAAAAGATGAAAAGTCCAGTTTATGATATTAAACACCAGTCACTGAAGGTCTTATTACGATGACATTTAAACAACTTGCGGGAGAATGAAACCATATGAATATATGAGGAAAGACAGTTTTCAGTATAGGAATCACCAAGTACAAATATCTTGAGGCAGGATTATAATAGTATAGGTAAGGAATGGCAGAAAGGCAGGTGTGGCTAGGGCGGAACAAATCAGAGGGAAAAAGAAGTAATGAAAGAAACAAATGATAACACTAAGGAGGGGTCAATATAAACAAAACACTTATCTCTAATTTAGAGAAAATGATGGACTGGTGATGAAAATAGAAGGAAACAAGAAATCAAGTTGAGAACATAAAAAGGTTAGTGAAGTGACTGTTAAAGCTTTTACTGAGTCAAACAGGGAGCTATTGAGCTCACGAGAAAGACTGTTGTAGAGCAAGGGTGAAAGCCCCATAAGAGGCAGCTGCAACAAAACAGATAATAATGTAACTCAAGACTAGTAATGAGGTAGTGAGAGTCAATGGATTCAGAATATAAGTAGACGATTTCTTTCTTTCTAGGGCCTCACACATGCTAGGCAAGCTCTCTAACAGTGAATTATATCCCCAGTTATATAAGACTTAAGACATCAGATATGATGAATTAAAGAAATGAATCAAGGATAAGTCACTTTGAATCTGATGGGCTCCATGTTTTTGAGCTCAAGAAAAAGAAGCATTTCTGAATTGATCTCTCAATGCAAAAAATAAAGCAAGAAACTGGAAGGATACTTATCTCCAACTAATATGAGAAATATGCAGGTGGAGAAGGTTTTGTTTGAAAGACTGAGAATCCACCTTTTACTCAGGAGTCTCTTTGTTTACATAACTAAACCTCGGCATCCCTTTCTTACCTATACTTTAAAAACAAACTGTCATTTGTACAAAAGAACTTTCCCTGAAACAATTATTTAAGCCAAGGCATTATCCCTAATTTTTAATTTCCAAAGTTTTTTATTTTTCTCAGGATTGTTATTCATTTTTCATTTTAATTATATTCATGTATTCCAATTATCTATTAGACTTTAGGCTTCAAGAGGCCAAAGAATATGTCTTGTTTATCTTAAATACCCTACCGCAAAGCCCAGGAACTCAAACACTGTGAGTGCTATCACTGCATCTACATAGTGCAGTAAGAAAAATATATAGGACATAGGAACTTAAAGCAAAGATACAGAATTACCATTAGTTGCAAATAATATGATTTAACTGGAAAATGAAATAAATTGAAAATAGAAATTAGACTGGCACTGGAAACAAAAATCCAATCTACTCAAATATATTTACAGAAACCTACAAACTATGAAGAAACTACATTTAATAAGTTACAAAGCCTAAGTTATAAACAATAAAGTATAAATAACTAAATATTGTAAAGATATCTCTCCCACACACACACCTCAAATCAATGGATAAACGTAGCATGATTCTCCTCTGCTCCTAACAGTAGAGCCACAGCAGTCTGCTTTCTATTCCTACAATACAACACACTATTTCCCATCTTCAAGATGTTGACACATGCAATTCTCTCTGCTTCCTGTCATCCCATCCTGCTAGGACTATTCTCAAAAGTCTCAATTCAGGCTGGGAATGTGGCTCAGGCGGTAGCTCGCTCGTCTGGTATGCGTGCGGCCCGGGTTCGATCCTCAGCACCACATACCAAAAGTCTCAATTCAAATACCAGTTCCTCAAAGCGCATCTTCTGGGGCATCCTTTCTCTAGTTTTCACCCCTAGCCCAACTTGGTAACTATATCCACCTAACCTTTTCTAAGACAATTATGACTACCTAAAGTAATTTTGTCATTTTTTTATTGTCTGTCTCCCCTAAGACACCTATCCCTAAGATAAAAGAGCACCCCATCCATTTTGTAACTGGGGTTGCAATAGCACCTAATAATGTTTGGCATAAACTAGTGCTAAAAATTAGGATTCTGCCAAACAATTTTTTAATAAAATATTTATTTATTTAGAGTGGGGTACTGGGTATTGAACTCAAGGTTGCTTTACCGCTAAGTTACATCCCCAGACCTTTTTATCTTTTTAATTTGAGACAGAGTCTCAATAAGTTGACAACCTGGCCTCAAATGTGCAATCCCTCCTGCCTCGGCCTCCCAGGTCACTGAAATTAAAGGCATGTTTCACCATTCCTGGCATAAAAATTTTTAATGACATGAGAGTAACTGTGATGAATTACTAAATGAAAAGTGGAAGCTATATATAGAGTAACTTATATAGTGATTCTATTTTCAGAAAACTAAAAAAATACCTATCTCTAGGTGGTATACTATATAACAGTACATTAGGAAAATAATGAATTATACATCGCTCTCAACATAAGAAAAAATCTGCTCACCTGTTGGCCTTGAGGACTTTGTAAGATCTGAGCAACCGCCGCAAGTGTATCTGTATTTGTTATCTGAGATACCCATGGATCAGGAAGGCCTTGGACCACATTAGCTGGAGTAACAGGTGTCACAGGTGTTCCTTTTTAAAAAGACATCACACAGCCCACCAAATACAGAAGTAAATAAATACAATTTGAAAAAGTTGAGGAATTTGTTCTATTACTTTTATAAAACATAGACAAATGTATATCAATATTTTTATTTTATTGTCAGCATTTAGAAAAATTTTAAAAATCCTTCATGTAATTAGGTTAAAAAACAAAAAACAACCAAAAGGATTGTTCATACTTCTCCTCAGTGAACTAAGATAGTACTTTAATAAAGTGTATGTAGCATCATTAAAAACTGAGCTAAGAGTTTAACAAAGCTTACTTAGGAGCCATTAAAAACATTATGAAGGGGCTGAGGTTGTGGCTCAATGGTAAAGCACTCGTTTATTAGCACGTGCGAGCCCTGGGTTCAATCCTCAGCACCACATTAAAAAACAAAAATTAAAGTATTGTGTTCAACTACTTCAAAATAAATAAATAAATAAATAAAACATTAGAAGAGATTCAACAACATAATAAGAAAAATACAATTTTGAGGGAAACAGAACTTACAAAACTATTTTTTTCAATAAATGCACAAAAACTAAATGTGAATGAAAATGTTACCAAATTCAATTCTTGTAATTGTGATAAAAATTTTTAAATGTCATTTAAATACCCTAAGAAAACATGATTTTGAGATTATTATTAAAGCATTCTTGGCATTATCAAATAATTTAAGGTTCTTTGTAAAGATTAAGTTAACCTCATTTCCTGTAAATATAAAGTTGATTTATATCAAGTGTTAAGAGATTACAGACAACCCAAATAATCTGGAAAAACCTAACTGACACACTCATTTTCCAAAGTTCATTATATTTATGTTTCTTGGGATAAAAAAAAAAAAAAAAAAAAAAGCTTTCAGAATGAGAGAATTATACAGAAACAACCAAGGCTAGCACACGCCTGTAATCCCAGGGACTCAGGAGGCTGAAGCAGGAGGATCACAAATTTGAGGCCAGCCTCAGCAACTTTAAAGGACTGGACGAAATGGTACACACCTGTAACCCAGTAATTCAAGTAGCTGAGGCAGAAAAATCACAAGTTCAAAGCTATCCTCAACAATTTAGCGAGGCCCTGAGCAACTTAGCAAGACCTAGTCTCAAAATAAAAAATGAAAAAAGCTAGGGGGATAGGGGATGTGGCTCAATGATAGAGCACTGCTAGGTTCAATCCTACTTTAAAACATACACACACACACACACACACACACACACACACACAAATACACACACACACACACACACAAATACATGGTTTTATTTTTCCTTTGAATTATATTTTCTTTCAATTATCTAATATAGCATCACAATTTTCCAGTGGTGTAGAATTGTTATTGTACATATGAATAACCATGTGAAAATATGAGAATATTTAGAAATCAAATCTATATTGTAGCAATATACCTGGGGTGTTGCTCATAGCAGCAGTAGTACTGGCCAAAACAGGTGTGACAACTGGAGGAGGAATCCCTGCTGCCATATCCAAAAGCGGTTGAATAATCTCACTCTTAAATACATTATTCTTCTGCCATAAGTTTAAAACTCTCACTATTTTACTCTAGAGAAAAAAAGAAATAAGACATTTTGATTTTTTGCTTTCAAAACATTAGTATAATCATTTCATAAGGGCTTTTAGGGTGCTGGATGGGAAGAAGAGATGAAAACACTTCTGGGGTACTTTCTACCACTGAAAATTTATTTCTACCATTTTGCATTTGTTAATCTTATCTCAGTTGAAGGGGGAAAACATTAGTTTTAATAGACACAATATAAATGAAAGCTACACTTAGCTGAAAGCAGACACAACAACTAGTCTCTATCTCCCACGCAATTCTAATGAGCTTAATTTAATACTATGGTTGCCTATAGAACTGTATTAAGTATTCCAAACAGAGTTAGGATTCATCTCAGTACTAAATTTAAAGTTAATTTTAACTTTATCTCATAAAATGTTTATCTTTTGAGCAAATAAATAACTTCAGGATAAAGTCCTTTACTAATGTGACTCTCACAAATTTTCATTTTAAAAACTATTTAAATATAGGAGAGGGCATTTCTTCGTATAAGAATTTAACCAAGGGCTGGGGATATAAGCTCACTAATGGAGACATGCATAGCATACATGAAGCCCTGAGTTCGATCCTGCCATCAGAAGAAAAAAAAAAAAAAAACCAAGCATATTTTTAACAAAATTAATCCTTTCTTTCAGCACCACATAAAAATAAAGATACAGTGTCTACTTAAAACTAAAAAATATAAAAAAAGAGAATGTCTCAAGATATTCTACAAGATATTTCTAAGCACCTTGTCATAAATTCTACTTCCCTGTTGATGCTTTAAACCAGAGACATACACACTTCTGTCTGAACAGAATGTGAAATATAACCTCTCTTCACTCTGCACCTTCCCCCTTCATTATTCTTCCCTACTCTCCCCTTGTTGCATAATGCCAATCCCATAACAGCATTACTTAATGTAGCTCACAGAATGTTAAATACCATTATAAATGAATAATACTCTACATTTATTTATTTCACTTACCATAATCGGAAAAGTCTTTACCATTCTATTAAAAAAAAAAAAAGCCTGCTTGCTACTAACAAGCAGATTTACATATCTGAACCATCTGAGTAATTTTCTTTTTCTCTTTCTCGTAGGCCCTTTAATAGCAGCATTGAATCCAATTTACTTTTACTCCCCCCTAAAGATCCTCAGCATTGCCCAACTCAACCCAATCAAATACATACATACACAGGTATCTCAATTTTTGTTTTAATCTCACCCTTTTCTAGATCCCTTATGTATGAATACTTCATATTTTTGGTAAGGCTCCAATCATATAACATTCATGTAGCTGCTATAAAATTCATGAAATACATGCTATCTACATAACCTTTCTCATTAACCTTGGTCTTAAGCCAAAAGTGTCAATTAAAAAAAATATATTTGTTAAACCCTCAGTTCCCTTATCTATAAATATGAGACTATATACCATAAGTATTCTTGGGTTTCTTTTCTCAATTTCAAATTGTATCAAACTGTTTAGGTTGACCAGTATTTTGAAGGTCTTGAAAATCTTAACCACTCCCATTGTGAACATCTTGGCAGAGAGCTATATCTTACTTACTACTTACAGTTCTTCTTATAGCAACACTATAAAATGGCACTTCACTTTAATTATGCATACCCTAATCTTGCTCCAAGAGATTAAGTGAAATTTCATTCAGTTGTAAAATTCTGTTTAATTGTATTGTTGCCTATCTCCTGTTATATTCTGAGTATTATAAACACAGAACCTAAAAAGATAGGTATCACCAACTTCTATTTCTTGGACAATTCTGAAGTCTAAAAGCATAATAAATAGTATTTAGAGAAAACTTGATAATCAGAAAAAATTCTATACATCTCCATTGATTATGTGATAATTTGCCCGAAAGCTTCAGATTTACACAAGCACAACAATATGCCCAATTAAGAAGAATGTCTCTCAGCCTGGAGTTGTGGCTCAGTGGTAGAGTGTTCGCCTAGCACCCCGGAGGCACTGGGTTCGATCCTCAGTACCACATAAAAATAAAATAAAGATACTGTGTCCACTTAAAACTAAAAAATATTTAAAAAGAGAATGTCTCAAGATATTCTACAATATTTTTTTTAAGTAACATCAACTGGCCTGTTTTTCTTAAAACCTTGCTTAATGAAATACAAATACTTCACACAGAATATACACTTAATCACCATTTCGTTGATACTGACACTGAACAATTTGATTCACAACTTTTTAAACACATAAAAGTTTATTGTAAACAATAAGCAAGTAGATTTGGTACAAATTATTGTGGGACTCCTTAATTAGGGGGAAAAAGAGGCCATTAATATGTATTCAAAAATAGCACTAATTAAATGAATATGTTTTATAGCAGTAACAGACCAATTTTCAGAATAAAGATCTGGTTTATTTTTAAGCTCCTCATACTATTAGGTTTATATATTTTTAAATTATGTCCAAATCACATTAATATGCAAATTTTTCAAATGAAACATAAGAAAATGACACAACAAGGAGGGCGCAGTGGGTGCCTGACTATAATCCTAGCCATCTGGAGGCTGGGGCAGGAGATCACAAATTCAAGGTAAGCCTTGGCAAGACAGCAAGACCCGGCAATTAGGTGACTCCCTCAAAATATAAAAGGGGCAGTGGGGTGTTGGGGATGCAGCTCAGCAGTAAAGTTGGTACTAGATCAACCCCCAGCACAAAAAAAAAGAAAATTACACAACAAATGTTTAATAACTTCAGATTTGACGACTACTTCTTTATAAAAGATAGGCACTTAGAAAGTTCTGTGCCTTACACAAGAATCAACCCAGTTTCTAAGACATTTACCCATCATGTTATTCAAAATAACTACTATCTAACAACTATCATTCTAAAAATCTACATACATACACATAATGCCCCTCATTTATTATCGAAATTACAGCATTAATATAATCTTACTTCCTAGAGTTTTAAAAAACAAAAAGGCCCTATTCCATAAATACTTATAAGAGATATTACATTATGATACACAAATTGAAGACTGATTTGTTCATTGTAACTGACAGAAATCAAAGTCCAAATAATGAAATTTCTAAGTCAAAATGTTGAGTTACTTTTTAAAATGCTGATATAAAATTTCAAAATTGCAAAGTGCCTATTTTAACAGTCAATTAAGATGGGCCACTTAAAATCTTAAACATTCTTTCAGCCTTTCTAAGTATCGAAGTATCAAAATTTAAAAAATTAACTGTTAAGAAGTTATATCCAAAAATAGTTCACTAAAAATATAACATAATAAATTTATCTGTTATCTACTCATTATAACAAGGTTTTCTTCTTCCAGTTCAATATTCTCTTTTAGCTATTAAAAATAAAACTACATATAATGATAGTTTGTTCATAACTGTTAAATCCATGTGACTGATATCAGTATACCTGGGTATTTCTTATGGCAACACTATTATTTTGTACTGCCTATTTTATTGTGTAAAGTAACCTATGAAATATTGTCATATTTTATATATAAACGTCCTTTTTAAATAAATAAAACTACCTAGAAATGAGTTCCATTAGTCTTCGCCCATTCTTACCTTTTGCTAACTAATCAACATTACATTCAACCCTGTCAAAACCCACACCTAAATGTCCAAATCAGCATCAAAATGATTTAAGGGCAAATATAAAAATAAACAACTCTTCTTTATTCTGCCTTTGGGTCCAAAACTCTTTGTTACTTGTTAATTACAGAATATGTACATATTCAGATTTCAAAGATTTAATAGTAATGGTTTCTAACACTTTTAATAAAATTGTACCATAACAAAACAATTTTGATATACAATTACTTTCTATGAATTACTTGGCAAAACCATTTTCCATGAACAATGAAAAGGAAAATATCAATTCAAACATCACAATCCTAAAATAGTCCTAGATTTGAATAAGTGCTTAATATAATTCCAAAAGATATTGTAGCCAATTTCTTTAACAGCAGTTGCTTCAAATAAATTAAAACCTAGCAAAAACCAACATTTTTTCACTCTTCAAGGAATTCTAAGAACAAAAAATGAATGTGGATATTGTAATGATTAAATATTTGAATTTAGAATAATCTAAACACCAAGCAAAACAGCACCATACCTTGTCATCCCCAGGACAACGATATAAATTCTGAAAAGTGCTAATGATGTTATTACTAAATCGGGGTGCGAACACATCCTTTTCTTGACCAAACTGATGTCGGGATTGTCTCACAATGGAGTCAATAACATAAAGTCCAGGTACCTTGTATTCTGGTTTACACTGATGAGAAAAAGAGTGGAAAGGGAAGAAAACAAAGGTAAAAATCATCATAAATCCTATAGAAGTACATAAACACTGCTCATGCTGTAATGAATATTCAAACACTGAGTATTCCACACCATATGTCTCTGGAATGGCATTTTAAAGAATCTACTTTGGCTATGTTCCTCATTCAGTTCAACTGTCAGTCATCCAAGTTCCAAAATAGTACTGCATAACTGATTTCAATGAAAAAAAAATTTATAAATAAGATATTGTTATGATATTTAAATTTGTATAATGATTTTGAAAAGCTACGGAAAGAAAAAGCAAATTAAGGACAGGACTCTAAAAAATTCATTGCCTACATGTATTAGATTTCAATATAAAACACATAACAAAGGTTTCTAGGGCTGGGGATGTGGCTCAAGCGGTAGTGCGCTCGCCAGGCATGCGCGTGGCGCTGCGTTCAATCCTCAGCACCACAAATAAAGATGTTGTCTCTGCTGAAAACTAAAAAATAAATATTAAAAAATTCTCTCTTTCTCTGAAAAAAAAAGGTTTCTACACTAATTTAAAAATAAAAAACAAATGGCAAGTTATACCATTCTAAATACAGGGAACCCAAAGTTTCAAACGTTTTTCAAATACCCCAACTATAAGAGATAAGACATTACCATTATAATTCTGGGAATTTATCCTATGAAAACATTTTTCAAGAACTCTCCTGGGTTATTTCTCAATCATATTGTGAAATTATAAGTCCCCGACTTTTTAACTACAGGCTTTTTTGTCCTACAGTAAGTAAGTCAACACAATGAAGAATCCTTCTTTAAAAAAAAAAAAAAAAAACTGAAGCTTATTTCTCCTATTTTTGTTTCCATACCAAAAACATAAAAAAAGACTGCCTATCAGCATATATTAGAATAAAAGAAAATTATGGTTACAGAGCAAGTTCGTTTTTTAGTAGTATAAAAGCTTAAATATTTTTACCTAAAGTTGTTTTCTGGCACATATGGCATTAAAACAAAACTGAATTAGAAGAATGTTCTTGGAAATCTAAGTATTATCACTGATACAAGAATACCCAACCCAGGCTGGGGCTGTAGTTCAGTGGCAAAGCACTTGCCTAGCTGGGTTTGATCCTTAGTACCACATAAAAATAAGTAAATAAATAAAATAAAGGCTTCCTGACAATCTACAACTACCAAAAAAAAAATTAAAAAAAAAAAAAAGAAAAACCCAAACCCATCCCTAACTAACAAATACACACACACACACACACACACACACACACACACACACACACACACAGATTCTAACTGGGATTTTCAGCCAAAACAATGATTGATTTCATTCTTCAAAAAGGCTAGGTGGCATTTAGTTTGTTCCTTAAAACCCTTTTTAAGAACCTATCTGGGGGCTGGGGATGTGGCTCAAGCGGTAGCACGCTAGCCTGGCATGCGTGCGGCCCAGGTTCGATCCTCAGCACCACATACAAACAAAGATGTTGTGTCCGCCAAAAACTAAAAAAAAAATATATTAAAACTAAAAAAAAAAAAAAAAAAAAAGCTATCTGGTAAGGGTCTTTATTAAGCTGGGAAAAAATGCAGAGAACTTTAACTGTAATTCAAAGAGTCTATTAGGAGAGATGTGGGCTATTACATGCTTAAAGTATTTCATAAAAGAGCAATAAATTAGTATTTGGACATTAAAGACTTAGAGTAAACTGAAGGATCAAAAAACTTTGTTTTGAAGTTTCTGTTTTTAAATGTCTCAAAGAGTTAAGGCTTTCCCTCATGTCCAAAAAACTGACTTATTTTTCTTCACTTTATCCATCTAGCCAAGGTTAACTTCCTTTCACTACCATACATTCAAAGAATTAACTATCTACCCTAGCTAACAATACCCGTCAGTAAATAAAACTTTCTAAACTTAATGAAAACCAGAACATCCACTTTGGTAAATACACACACACACACACACACACACACACACACACACACACACACTATTCCCCAGTGCTAGAAACACAGATCAGTGCTTAATAATTATTTACTGACTGGCATTTAAACTTTCCCAAAGGCAGAAAACAATCTTATACATAATGCATTATTTTACACAAATGATTATCTTGAGTAAAACTGAAGAGAACTTATGCTGATAAGAGTTTTAAAAATTAATGTATGAGTAATACAATAATTAATGTGGTGTCTTTTAAAAAAATTAGTATCCAAACATCATTACTATGTTGAGGTTTTTTTTAATATCTTTATTTTGTTTATTTTTATGTGGTGCTGAGGATCGAACTCAGTGCCTCACATGTGCAAGGCAAGCGCTCTGCACTGAGCCACAACCCCAGTCCCAAATGTGGTTGTCTTTTTTAATCTTTTCCTTTTATTTATACCAAAAATTCTGACCATAAACTTAATTCAGAATAATGATGAGTGTGTGCTATAAACAATTTCCTTTCATGGCCATCTGTGAAGATTCTAAAGCTTCAAAAATATATTAGCAGATTTATTAGTGAATAGTAACACCTAAAGAAAAACATTCTTTCTTCCACAGTTACCTTCGGACATACTCTACACCAACATGCTGTGTCTCAGAATTTAAATAACCACATCAAGTTAAGTCAAAGAAATATGAAATGTTGTTCACATTTTTATTATATTAGACTGAAAACAAGAATTTCTAAGTCTCTCCAATGGCAGGGCATGTTATATTTTGACTCTTGAAATAATTTTTTAAAAACTGTATTATGCAAAATATTTACAGATATACCATCTTCAAACAATATTCTAATAATTTCCAATTTCCCATGCTTCAGAGAAAGTCACTTAGAAAAAGAAAGGGAAGAATGACTAGAGAGAATGCACCTTTAAATATACTTGTGTGATTTTCATGCTGCCATCCAAATTAGCATCTGCTGCTATCATCAGGCAGAGTTGTTTAAAAAGAACTCTCCAGGCCAGTTGGACCACATATGAATCCTATTAGAATTTGTGCTGCCACTTTCAACTACTAAAAGTTGAACGTAAAAACAGAGCTGGAACAGTAAAAAAACAGGAGTAAGGGGCTATACCTGCAAGACACTGCATGATGCTGATGGTAGCCATGAAAGAAAAGAGGATTCCCAGGATACAGTCATTCCTGAAACCATGAGTGATTTTTCTTTCCTCTGTACACTGAAAAGTTTGGCTTGTGAGCTGCCAACATTTAGTGGCGCTAGCAGCAAAATTCCATTATTTCTAGCTTGCATAGTAAACACAGATTCTTAAAATCACAGAGTAGACTAGGTGGGAGCTGCAATGAAAATAGCTTTTTCCTTGGCTTAAAAATATTTCCTTTGTGGGGCTGGGGCTGCAGCTCAGTGGCAGAGTACCTGTATAGCACATGTGACTCACTGTGTTTGATCCTCAACAGCAGCACATAAAAATAAATTTTAAAAAAGTATTCTGTCCATTTACAACAACAGCAAAAAACAATTAAAAAAAAAAAAGACTTCCTTTGTGTCATCGCACACAAAGACAGTGGACTTTTCTACTTATCTTACATTAAAAAAAAAAAAAGCTAACACATGCAAAAAGAACAATAACATTGACAGGTAATTAGCAAATATGATCAAATTCACCAATGCTAAGAAGTGCTCCAAGAGCTTTCCAACTATTCTAGACATTCATACCAAGATTTTCTTGCTGTTTTGTTTGTTTGACCCCTGTAGGTTATTTCAGGAATCTCTACATCCTACCTCAAACACACATATATTACAAAAATAAGTATGATTTTTCAAATTATCTACCTTCCTGAAGATTCTAATATTCATACAATGTGGGCCCTAATTGCAGCTTCATCCCTATTTGAGAAAAAAAAAATCATTGCTGAATCAGTGTTTTTAACATTTTGGAAGCGTTCTCTAATAAGACTCCTTGTACACTGTGGAAGTTTACCAGGTGGTTCCCTACACCTTCTGAAGCCTGTTCATAGATTTCTTCAGGTATAAGTAAAATTACATTATTAACTTTAAAATGCATCCTTGCATTATTTCTCCCACAGAATTTAAAGAGATCAGTATTATGCTATAGGCCACATGGAAGAATTTTATAAGAATCAAATAAATTCCCTTCTGTATTTAAAATAAGCTTGCTGTTTAGGAGACAAATGACTATTTTACTGGATTATTTATCAAGTAAATTATAAATTCTGTTATACTCCCCATTCTATATGAAGTAATGATAAAAAGAAACAAAGTTGCTTCTCTATTAAATATAAAGTTGTTTAGTAAATAATTCACTATATATCTAATGCCTTCCAACCAGATTGCAAATACAATCAAGAGAGAGATAATGTGTCCTTCAAGTTTTCCCCAACTGAGTCTTCTAAGCAGCAAATTACTATTAGTTGATGATTTAACACTGATCATTTAGAACATGATCATTTTAACTATAAAATTTACAGTTTAATGTACTGTCAATTAAGGAATTCTAAGAAATCATGAGAAACTTTATATATGTTCCTTAAGTGTTTCCTAAGATTTTGTTTCCTTTATGTAAGATAATAACTGGTTTATAGCCTAAGAATTCATACTATGGGGTACCTATAAAGTCTACAAACCTAGGCTAATTAACATAATAGCTACACTATTAAAAAAAACAACAGCAGCATGTCTCAGACTTTATGGATATCCAATATTAGTTTAGTAAAGATTCAACAGGAACTAAGCATATAATAATACTCTTAACAGAGTCTATAACATCTTCACTGCCAATTCTGAACAAATCTATGTAGTATTTCCTAAGAAAATAACAGCTAAGAAAACAAATTTGGTAAGAGATATTAGTACAAAATAGGAAGAAAGATCAAATGATATTTTCTCTTGGATGGCCAACTAAATACTTTTATGCTATTTTCTAAACTTGTAATAATTTAAATTCCAAAAGCATGGAAGCTCTGAAATTCCACAAAAGCAATATGCATTTCCACAACCCCTAAGCCAGAATAGGGGAATCATTAGCCCATCT